TTTTTTTGGAAGTATCTTGACTTACATCAAGAAATTGACAATGAGGGTCGGTTGAAAACAAAACTTTACGACAAAAGAGATGATTTCAGCTTCCCAATTGTGAACTTTCAATTTCTATGTAGCAGCATTCCAGCAGCGCCTGCATACGGAGTATATATCTCCCAATTGATACTATATTCCCGGGCTTGTATTTCCTATCATGATTTCCTTGATAGAGGGTTGCTGCTCACAAGGAAGCTATTAAACCAAGAGTTACAAATGGTGATATTGAAATCATCACGAGTTGGCTGACCGTTATGGAATAACCGTTTCTCAGATGATATCGGATATGTTCCTTATGTCTTAATTACAATCAACTACTTTTTTCACCACGAATGTGACCTACCGAATTAGACTATTTACCGGATTTGTAATTACATGAGCAACACGACTGGTGCCACATGTGGAGCAGGATCTGCTTACCCTTCCGGAGCACTTGGGATCACCGCCAGTTTTTGGTGGGGTTCGTGTTGCTTAGTCTTCAGTTTTTATGTTGTGTATTGTGTACTATTATTTGTCTGTTTGTCTTTTTATTTTTTAGCCATGGGGTTGTCAGTTTATTTTCGATCTATGAGTTTGACTGTCCCTCTGGTATCTTTCGCCCCTCTTTTATAACCACTGGGTCAATGTCTCTGCTGGTAGACATTTTGTCCACGAGGACATCATCCGCCCAGTAGCAAAATTGCATGAATTTACGAAGATCTAGAAGGATACTGGCTCGGACGTCGCCCAGTATAAAAAGGTCCGAAATAGACGTCACCATGGACACGGTGTCGTCTGATACGGCAGGTATCCCCTCATCACCAGAAATGACAAATATCCCAACCATGACTCATTCAGATCATCATACTAGTGACAATAGCAATAGTACACATACACAGCCATGATCAGTTCTCCTGAAAGACATTTTGGATTTTGATGACTCTGAACAACACAGTCTCATTTCGAAATGTGAAGCAAATGGCTGCAAAACTTGTGAAATTCTAATAACAGATGCTCAATTCACTAGCAATTTAACTTAAAAGTCTTATTTTACTAGAAGCTACGATGACCTGAATTGTAAATCTATAAATGTCGTCTACGGATTAGAGTGTAACCTCTGCTGATTGTTATACGTCAGTGAAACGAAAGGAAGGCTAAACAAACGTATGTGCGGCCATAGATCAGATACCAACCTCAATGCAAACGAGATTCTTAACCAGCATTTTAATCAGCCTAATCATTCCATCGTTTCTATGACAGTATCGAAAAAATATACCACAAGACTAACAATCCTCAACTTGCAACGCCTCTCCGTAGACAAAAAGAGGACTACTGGATTCGACAATTGGGAACTGCGACACCATATGGTTGCAATGACAAAATTGATGGTAAAGGTATTTTATCCAGTCCTTCCTGTAGCTCGGTGAATGTGATGAATATTTTCAACGCTACTCCTTGACGTAGACGCAGTCATGGTCATCGTCATTATACATCACCTAATCTGCATGATGTCTCTATTAATGACTTGCTGCCATTTATACAAAAGCCGTTAGGTATTCATCACATTCACACGAAACTTTATTCATTACCTCTTTCAAAACTTCATTCTCAGTTCAATATATGTTTGGAAACCACTGTTACAAACCCTCATTCAAACCAATACAAACGTACAGCTATCATTTCGGATATTGCAAGTCACAGACTTTTCAAACCAGTTTGCATTGGAAAAGATGAAAAAGAGAAAAGATCTTTTCTTAAACTTTCCTTTGTCAACAAAGGTCTCGATGGCGTCAACTTAGGCAATATCCTTCATCATAAATTAGTTCAGTCGAAAATACCTCCTTATTTTAAAGATCAGTCTGTACCAATAATTTCTTATACCTATACCAAACAAATTGCAACTAAAATTTTCAATTACAAGCACGTTTTGCAGGATCTCAATATTGACGACTTCAAGTCTAAACCTCCTGATTGCACCTGTGCTAGTTCCCAATTCACATATAATCCGGCTGGCCACGTTATTACCGGATACCTCAACATTGTCAATAACACTTCCCTGCGAAATGTGTTATCCAAAGGTCCGAAATATCGTGAGCCTAAATCCATCAATTGGAAATACAACTTCAAAATACTGATTGATTCGGTCGAGGATTATGCCAGGCAATTGGCTAAACGCGGGAAAGAAGACGTAGATACTCTTTCCGAATGAATTAAGGCTGTGAGGTCGTTGATACAAATCAGAATTAAGAAAATAAATGGGTCTATTAATACCCATGCTACGTCAATCTTTAAAGACCCAAATGTTGCAAAACACTTCTCCTACCTCCATGACAAATATGTTGTTGTCTCTGCAGATAAAGCCCAAAATAACATCGTTTTTGTGTGTAAATCTCATTACATAAACTGCTTGATAAATGGATTAGGTATTGATAATTCACTTGGAAACTCAACATATACCCTCACGACACTTACCAAAGAGGAAATCCTGGATAATCATAGGTCTCTTCTATGTTCCTTTGGAATTTCAACCAAAGATGAAGAACTAAATCTTCCATCACTGTATTGGATACCTAAACTACCTAAGTGTCCTTACAAACAACGGTATATTGCTTGATCTTCCAAGTGCTCCACGAAACCTCTTTCTAAATTATTAACATCTATTTATCAGCAATCAAAGCCGGGCTTCAAAGTTATCGTGAAACTGCCTATTCTAGAGGTGGCGTGAATCAGATGTGGATACTAAAAAATTCCAAAGATCTTTTAGAGAACATACAATCTAAGACTCTCTCATCTTGCAATAGTATTAAAACATTTGACTTCTCTACACTTTACACAAGTATTCCCCATTCCAAACTAAAAGACAAATTGAAATAGTTGGTATTGCTTTGTTTCATAAAAAAGAATGGCGAACGAAGAAACAAGAATCTTGTCTTGGGGAGGGATAAATCCTACTTTGTAAAGAATCACTCTGATTCAAACAAAAAATTCTCTGAAACTGACATTACAAAGATGCTTGATTTCTTGATTGACAACATATTTGTTACGTTTGGAGGACGTGTTTTTCAACAGACTGTCGGCATTCCAATGGGAACCAATTGTGCTCCTCTTTTTGCCGACTTGTTTTTTTATTATTATGAGGCTGACTTCATACAGGAACTTCTTAGGAAGAAAGATAAGAAGTTAGCAATATCCTTTAACTTTACTTTCCGCTATATAGATGATGTTCTCTCACTAAATAATTGAAAATTTGGTGACTATGTTGAACGCATCTATCCCATCGAACTAGAGATAAAGGATACAACAGATACAGTTAAGTCTGCCTCATATCTTGACTTACATCTAGAAATTGACAATGAGGGTCGGTTGAAAACAAAACTTTACGACAAAAGAGATGATTTCAGCTTCCCAATTGTGAACTTTCCATTTCTATGTAGCAACATTCCAGCAGCGCCTGCATACGGAGTATATATCTCCCAATTGATACGATATTTCCGGGCTTGTATTTCCTATCATGATTTCCTTGATAGAGGGTTACTGCTCACAAGGAAGCTATTAAACCAAGAGTTCCAAATGGTGAAGTTGAAATCATCCCTTCTTTAATTTTACGGACGCCATCACGAGTTGGTTGACCGTCATGGAATAACCGTTTCACAGATAATATCGGATATGTTCCTTATGTCGTAATTACAATCCACTTCCTTTTTCACCACGAGTGTGACCTACCGAATTAGACTATTTACCGGATTTGTAATAACATGAGCAAGACGACGGGTGCCACATGTGGAGCAGGATCTGCTTACCCTTCCGGAACACCCGAGATCATCCCCAGTTTTTGGTTGGGTTCGTGGTGCTTAGTCTTTAGTTTTCTATGTTGTGTCTTGTGTACTATTATTTGTCTGTTTGTCTTTTTATTTTTTAGCCATGGCGTTGTCAGTTTATTTTCGATCTATGAGTTTGACTGTCCCTCTGGTATCTTTCGCCCCTCTTTTACACCACCCAAGGGCTGTACACAATAGCTGTTGTATAGTTAATAGAACCTGACAGTGTATATTAATACATAATATATAAATACATACTAAATTATGTATTCTTTCGATAAATTTATTCATAAAGATTTTAGTTAATATTGATTTAATTTTGAATTGGATAATACTTAATGCAAGAGAAACATTGTTTTGCCGATCATAGGACGTATGGCTGTACGTTGCGTCGATATGTATAATAATATATCATCGTTGTTAAGCAGACTGCTTAAAAAGTCATTCATTTATTCTGTTGGAGGTATACAAGTTTATAGTTTAGTGTCGGAAGCATAGTCGTTTTACTACTAGATATCGTTGATTAGTTTTCAGTACATCCTATCTTCACCAGCTCATGTCTTTCCTCTGCCACTAAGTAAGCGTAATCTTCGATTGAAACGTTGTGTCTTTTTTTATTTGTTTTAGTTTATTTTCTTTGTGGTATTTATGTGATGTGTCAAGCTCTTTCAACTGGCTGTTACAGTTTGTTTTGATATTGTTCTGTTACACCATTGCCTTATATTTGATCGAACTAAAAGCTTTTACAATCTGAAACGTAAACCAGGGGTATATTGTTTAGTGCTTGTAGTCTGTTATTATTGCTTCTTTCATTTTAAAAGTTGTTACCCTATGGACTGTAATGTTTCTCGGAAATTTCTACCGCTTGAAACTCTAAGGGTTTTTGTTTATATTTGAAGGCCTTTCGCAGACGGCAACCATACTGCATCTTCAAATTATTACATATGATTTCAAACTATAATTTTCAAAATTGAATTATTTCTAAAGTATTGGCATTGAGCACAACAAAAAAAGTATAATCATGAAGAACATCTTAACGAAAAAACTTTTTTTTACAGATATGGAATGACATTAGATGTCTACAGGTTGAATTTGCAAACACAATATTGCATTTTTAGTTGTTATATTTCTTATATAAATTGATAAGTTTGATACTTGCAGGATCAAGAAATGAATCGTTTGGAGGACAGATTCATCTATGAACTTCTACGAACTGAAGAAAACCTTGAAGCCAGCATCGCAGGTAATGTATGTTTTTCGGATTTATTTGAGGCACAACAAATATACTCCGAAGAAATAGATAAATGAATGAATGAATGAAAAGAAAAAAATGAATAAATAGACGCCCTTCTCATTTAATGGAAAATCAATATTTTCCCTTCTTTTTCCAATAGTATGTGGATTTCTATGCACTATAAAATACTACAACTGAATAATTGTTGATTGTATATAAATAATTATATGGAACTCAAATAAATACATTCACGAAGTATACAATACCCGAAGGCAATTTCCTTAGGAAAACAGCCAAACGAAAAAAAGCATTGAGTACTACTTTTTGTCTAATAATTATAATGACAACAAGTAAATGGAATTATCAGATCATTAAAGATACTTCAACGAAACAGCAACCAAAAGACAAAATAAATAAAAGACTTAACGAGGGCAATATACAGTTGTCAACGATAGACAGGTGTTCATAAAATAGATCAATCTTTAAATCGTCCCGAGTTAGATTTGTAACGAAATTTAGCAAAATCTTTTTAAAGATTTTCCTTGCAAAACTAATTTTCCAACAAAAATGTTAATCTATCATGTTTATGTCAAGCGACAACTACTGACGAAGTTTCTTGCTTGGGACGGGCGTAATACGTCTTCAAGGTTTCAATTATCACAAAGGTACCAAAACACCAAATAAATACCAAACTCTACCATAATAAAGAATTCTTACAGAAAGTGAAGTATTTAACATTTTGATAATTAATCAATCTGTCCTATACTAAATATAAGTTTATGTACCACATAGAAGATTTCATGCAGTAACGTCATAGACAGTAATAGATGACATGATCTTGTGCAGCGCTAAAAACTCTATTGAAAAGCAAACACATAATTATTAGTAGTACTACAGACAAAACTTAGGGAAACTGATACTTACAAATATCAGAAGTACCAAAACGTATTGACGGAATGCCATCAAATATATGATTTTCAAAATATCTTTTTAAGTACAGAAATATTGTTGAACATGTTGAAGGACGACTGCATATTTTGGTAGCTTTATCAAAGATATTGCAGAGAAAAGTCACATGAAAAAAAAACCAGCAAGTGAATCAAACTTCAACACTATATTTCTGCATTTGAGATAAAACTAATCATTAACCTCGATCAATTATTGATATCTATACGTTTTTATGTAAAAGATCTTTAGTAATTAATCTATTACGTTCATGGAAAACCGAGACTTCACTGCATAGTAAAACAACAAATTAAAATACATACTCCATAAGAAGGAGTATCACGATTGAAAATTGGAAAATTCGTCCTTTCGACCATAAATGTTGGTATGAATTTAACCTTGTTGAACTATAATAACAAGATCTAAAATAGAACAAACTTAAGATGATCATTATTGTTTGGTTTAGTAAGAATAGTTTAGGTAGATCAATTTTATATCCAAATTTGATTTCTGGATTCTTCACAAATAATACATTATCTCAATATATGTTTGTTAAAGTATATGTTAAGTGGTATAGGGGGAGGGGCACATTTAGTTTGCATATGATTACCTTTCACTTTCAATATACACAAGAAGTTTGTTACTGAAAGGAGGTGTATAGTGACTGTAACAGATATAGTTTCATCATAAATATCTATCTATGATGAAATTGTGTGATCGTGGATTTTAAGCTGAACAGTTAGACAAGATAGAAAGCAAAAGAATAATCAATTGCTAAATAAAAAAAATATAATTCCTTGCCAAAAAAAAAAAAAAAAAAGAAAAGAAAGAAAAACGATAAGAAAAAGAAAATTTTCAAATACAAAAATCACGAACCTCGCCTAAAAAGTAGCAGATCGTTGTTGCTTGAACATGGTAGGAAGATCCGGCTCTACATGTGGTACAGATGTTTCGTTCGTACCTTCAAATTCGGTGATAAGTTTCATTCAGTGATGTCAAAGAGAGGCGAAAGATACCAAAGGGATATTCAAACTCATGAATCGAAAACAAACTGACAATGCCATGGAAAAAACGAAACACGACGAAAAGACACCAACAGTACACAAAACACAACATAAAAAACTAAAGACTGAGCAACACTGAGTTTAGATTGAGAAAAGAGGACGAACTTGTAGTTACGACAGTCAGATCATATCCGTGTCCATCTGGCGTACACACAACTTCCGAACGGATGTCTTCTTTCTTTTTACCAATTGGGAAACCCTTGGCAGTTAATAGATGTACAAAATGTACATATATACAAACTGAATATCTGAATAGTCTTATCTTTGATTTCAAGTGCATTTTAAGAATGAAAAACTCCTATACACATAGATTGATTCTTACAAAACTGCATGGCAATTCATTAGATATACACCAGTCATCTTTTTATGAAACGATTCCTGCACTTTGTTGTTTTTGTTCAACTAAATGATAAATATAATTATTGAAAACCAGAACATTTCAAACCTGGATAGCACAAATACGAAAACATTAAACGAATAATTCAAGAGTATAATAGATCGGTCCTGGAATATATCTGTAACACTCCCAAACGTGTCCATCCCCCCAAACGTGTCCGATTCCCTCAAACGTGTCTATTCCCCCCAAATGTGTCCTTTATATTCAATATCGCCCAAACGTGTCCGATTTCATAACCCCCAAACGTGTCCGATAATTGTTATTCGCCAAAACGTGTCCAATGTTAACCGCAAGAACGTCTCACGTCTTTTAGCGCTAAAACGTGTATGTCCTCAATAACGTCAAAATCGTTTACGGCAATTCCATGGTGGGGGACACAGTTGATGAAGTGGTCATTTATTAGCATTAGTTTGTTCAACGCCTGTTGTTAACGATTATCTTTATTGCAAATTTAATATGTAACATATGAATTAACCTTTGAATGAAATTACTTATTGTCCAGTTGCAGGTATTTCATGCATATTAAGGGCGAACATACAAATAATTTTAGTACAGTTGAATTAATCGTTGACTTAGTGAATTATTTTGTACTAATAAACTCCGATGATGCCTTTTTATATCAATCTGCACGGCTGGCTTTCAATAGAACTGACTTCCCTTTTTTCAACAGTTCTGATACAAACTGGTTTTCAAGCTTTTTTTTTAATAAATTTTAGGTTTCGAGCATCACTAAAGACACACGAACAAGAGACATAACGTCCAGTGCCAAATATTTCATGCATTATTTGAAGACATCATATTAACAATAAATACAGTACTGTAGATAGGTTCTAATGACTCCAGTAAGACACTACTTCAATGTCCGTTATGTAAAAGAGGCCGTTTTAAATAAAAGTTGCGAAAATTTTAACTGCCACTAGAAAAAATAATGAATCCGGACAAAAATGTTGCCTTCCAAAATACAACTGATGGCACCTTGAAAGAGTTGTTAGAAAGGTTTTGATCTGCAGAGAAATTTAGCTGAGCGTGGCTGCTTACATTTACGTCCGACATAGCTGAATGGACGCCCAACTTTAACCCAGGTTATACTGCCGGTTTAAAAAAGACTTAAAGTACTTTATTTCTATTTTTTAATAAAATAGTACAAAATGAGTATACTTTAATGCAATAGCAATAACCAAATAACGGAAGTATTTATAATATGGACAAGAACGATCGTTCGGTAAGAGAAGACAAAAAAGAGCTTGATATGGACTAGTTTTTGGGGATAGGGCACGTTTGGGTGTTCATTAAAAAATGGACACGTTTGGGCGTTCATACAAATGACACGCTTTGGCGCCCTTTTACATTTTAAGACATGTTTTGCAGTTCAGTGACGTCATGTGGACACGTTTGGGGGAATCGGACACTTTTTGGGGGATGGACACGTTTCTGAGTGTTACATATCTATACCTTGGGTTTAAACAACCTGACACACGGTCATTTGTTTCTCTAACTGTGAATGACGTCTTTACACTAAATCCATTAGATGTTGGATGTGTACTGATTGATATTTCAGTCTTATATACATGATTTGTTTATTAGTTGTTATTGGCTTTGAACTAGCTGTCAGTAACTGCGAGAACTGTAAGATCTGTACTTTGTGACTTTGTTTGTTGAAAGGGATGTATAAGTTCCCTGCCACGTCCGATCTGTGTTTTTTATGCTTTGTATTAATCTGATAAGTTTAGCCCTTTCCAACTGATTTTTATTGTTTGTTTTTATGTTGTTTTTTTTATATCACTGTTGCAGGTTTGGGGGAGGGTTTGGCACTAGTGAAAATTTTTTAACCCCGCCACATTCTTTATGTGCCTGTCCCAAGCCAGGAGCCTAAAGTTCAGTGATTGACGTTGGTTGATGTGCGTTATATTTGATTTTCGTAAAATGTGTTTTGTTATAAATTAGGCCGTTAGTTTTCTCAATTGAATTGATTCACATTGTTCATGTCGGGGCCTTTTATAGCAGACTATACGGTATGGGTTGTTCTCATTGTTGAAGGCCAAACGGATGGTTGTAATTGCTTACATCCACTTCACTTGAACTTTGGTGGATAGTTGTCTCATTGGCAAACATACCACATCTCCTTCTTTTTATATTGAGAATTTTGAAGATTTAAACTTTTTACCAACAGTTAACTTTTAATAGTGATTTTTAATGTCAGCACAGAAGCACTGACTACTCGGCTCGTGATATCCCCTGGGACGACTTGGTGGTTAATAACATTTATTCAAGCTTCAAGATTCTTTCAATTGATTACGCTAGCCGCGTGATTTGCCGACATAAAAATTACGTAAAATATATCAGTTTTACTCGAATATTATCATTTGAAGGGCCAAAATCAATGCCGAAGTTCAAGATCATTTAAACTTTTAAATTCAAAACAAAAGAACATATGCACTGTGGGTAAGACAATGTATGCCTTGCATTAAACACAAAAATAAGAATGACTTGTCAAAGTCTTTTATTCGCACAATTTAATCATCTGAAAAAAACATTTACTTTATTATTAGTTTAAGTTTTACATATTATACACAATGTGAACATTTGCATATGATATGGTGGAAAATAAATTCTCCAATTTTAAATCAAATATAGTCATATGTACCTTAAAGTACAACTAAACGTTTCAGGTTCAAGTGTATATCGAAACCTTCCCCATAGTCAGGGAAACATATACGTTGGTTGTTAATACCTCAGAAGTTTGACTAATAAAATCATCATTTCTATCTTTCTTAATGCGTTTAGGGAAAGCTTATTCGGTTGCAATGAACCTCTAAATTCCTATATCATGTATATATCAGCCCATATTATCAAAAAAGAATATGAATAATCGTTTCAATCGAGCTGTTTTACACTAAAAAAAATATGCAAGAACATTGGAGTTAAATTTAAAAAATAGTCATTGTCAAAGTCGAATTTTCTCCCCATAAATCGTTATCATATTGTTTGTTACTCATGCCTTTATTTATCTTCTCCATGTTCTCCAACTTTATTTACCATCTGCATTTTATTTTTGGATCCAGTATTGTGTTCACTTTCAATTGGTAGTGTGCTGTGTGAGATAAAAAAAAACATATGGAAAGTACAACAAATGTGTAGTCGACAAAATATAGCACTGGCTGAAACAAATAATTTTGTTTTACAATTTCAATATAATTATGCAAGCATATCATGTTTGATATGCGAGTTATTTCACCGAATATTAAAAATAGAAAACCAGATTGTTTAGCGTAATAACATACAAGTATTGTTTAATCAATAGGACTGCTGAACATTCCATGTATAATGATTATTGTTGGAGGCGAAAAGGACTCATTAGAAACTGCTATGACTTACTTAAATAAGAAGACTCCTGTTTTAGTAATAGATGGGTCTGGAAGCGCTGCCGACTTTATCTCTAAGGGATACAGAATGAGCATACATGAAAAAGGGTTAGTGTAATCATAATAACTAATTAACCACTATTGTCCTTCAAGCTTTTAGTAGAGAAGATATTTATGTTTGTTTTACCACTTCTCGATGTAACAAATTCTGGAAATTGGAATCAACTGTTATAGTATATTCAACAACAACACGAGAACAATACAAGGTATCCACAGATTATCATTCAATCGTCAATATAAGCAATGCCTATTACACAAGACAAACTTTAAATTACGCTATCTAGAAAAGTGAAGACTATATAGATACAAGACAATTTGCTAGCTTAATATATTCTGTAAATGACTAAATGTAGAGTTGAAAAAAATCAGTAATTGACGAGTTCTTTCATTGAGACAGGCACAGGGAAAATATGACCGGCTAATCTAGTAAAAGTTTTCGCAACCAACTTTCTCCTTCTAGACAGATAGCTATAAACATGCACATAAAAGAACTTACAACAAAAGAATGCAGCATACATAAAGGCAACAGTAGTATAGTCATAAATCAATTTTACTGAAACAAATCCGGGTCACAAACCAAAACCGAGGGAAAAACATCAACTATAAGAGGAAAACAACGGATTACATAAACACTGAACTGCTACAAAAACAACATACATAGAAACGGACTATTTGATAACAACTGCCATATTCCCGACTTGGTACAGGACATTTTAAGAAAAAATGGTGGATTGAACCTGGTTTAATGGCTAGCTAAACCTCCCGCATACATTAGCAATATAAAATGCTACACAATTATTACTGAAATTTAATCATTGTACCATTAATCTCTTTGGGTACCATTTGGTTATATTGATCGTCATGTATTCTGGTATTTAAAGATACTTTTCTTAATTCTCCGTTGATAAATGTTGAAATAAGACTGTTCATACAAATTATCAGATAAAACATATCAAGTCTTTTGTATTTTCAAAGGGAAGGAAAACTTGTGTTCTCTGAAACATTCAAATTAGAAATGATGAAATCAGCCAAATATTTAAGAATTGAAAATGTATGGAAAATTCCACCAAACAGTTATGAAGAAGTAACAGAGAAACTGCAGAAGGTTTTGAACATAAATCGGAAATTTGTATGTATTTTACCTTTCATAACATTGTTGTGTTTAGCATTTACTAGTATGCCGCGAAATAGTAGAATAGGTTGAAGACATAGTTATATCAATTCTAGGCCGTCCATTGTGTCTTTTACCTTGGCATCTGTAAACATTCGCAAACAAACATTATCTAATCATCAAACACTATATAAATAACACATATCTGAGAGGGTGATAGAGCAGATTGTTACCCCTAGAAAACATTGTCAACTGAGGCGAAGCCAAAGTTGACAATGTCTTTTCGAGGGGTAAAAATCTGCTCTATCACCCTCTCAGATATGTGTTATTTAATTTGTTATACTGAATGTTCTGGGTATTTGTGGGATTCACAATTTTGCTGTGAACTGCTAGTTATTTAAAGTGACAATCCAAATAATAGTATTTTTATTGGAAAACAATATTGTTTGGGGCCTTGTTGTTTGGAACAGCAACATATTTGTCGTGACGAGAGGATAAGGCAACTACAACATCGGACTTCTTGAAAGAGTCAGATACCCATATGTTCAATCTGCATTGTAAATTTTAAATACGCGTATGAATGCATAACCAAACAGCTTTGATCTATTAATATAGATGTCCACTTTTTGTTCTTCTGGCTAGCGTTTTCTCATTTTTCGGCATAGTCCTCAGCTGCATTAATTAGTAACATGAAGTTCTTTTTCAAGTTGATGGCCTTCGGCTAAAAACCTTCTGTGTTGTTCATTGTTAACGATACATAGGTCTCCAGTTGTTACATGACTAGCGGGACTATTATTATATTGGGTCGTTGCAAAAGTGCAATTAGGAGGTTTGGATTCTACATCCGTGAGGTTAAATGTCTATAATACCATCTTGTGGTTTTAACATGGCTGTAACTCGTCTTAAAAACAACATGAAGTATGTCATTTCCGAACAGTTGAACGTACACATAATCCTTTAATCTCTTTCCCCTATTTAGATATGTATAATTTTCCTCACTATTTTTCTGGATTTGTTAATCACTTACCTATAGCACGAACCATCAAAACAACCGAAGTCTTGTATGAACTACTCTAACACACAGTCTATGTTGTTTTTTGGCATTAACATGAATGCGTACATCCAAACTGTAAAGTCTATTCTTTTAATGACCTTGTTTATAATACAATGTATAGCTCCTAATATAAAGGCAAATCAAGAAAAGCGCTTGAGACAAACCAAACTTATACAGTGATTTTTTCAATATAATATGGTCATATTACTATCGTTTTTCAAGACTTTACACACTACGCTCCCATATTCATTTCATTATATTTGAATTAAAAGATCTCAATCTTTCGTTTTGGTAGCAAATTTTTACATCACAATTAAGTACATGTCTTTTGAAAAAAACATTCATTACGTGTCGCAAAATTCCCCTTTTCGGTCTTTCATTATAAAAACACAGGTACATTTTGCAGATGTGTAAAATTCGGTTTTCTTTTTCCCCTGAATAATATGCGTTACCATGGCACCAGCCCAAACAACATTTTGTCCGAATAGGGAGAAAATAAGGTAAAGTTACATTACATTGTACCATGGAAATAAAAAAAAGGATTGTTATAAAGTTGAAAGATAAAACATTAAACTATTCAAATAAGTGAGAAAATGACTATGTTTAATAGTTTGTTCCCATAGCAAGATGAAAATACGTTAAAATTCTATATTAAAAAATTCAAAAATTGTCCAATTTCATTTTTGTTTATCACTGAAGACTAAAAATACTCAATACGCTTTTTCAGAAAATTGAAATGGTGGCATTTAATTGTGCTTCCTTGTGACCATTATGAGCATGAAGCATTCAATTCCTTCAACTGTTGAGAACAGTAAATACACCCTCTCCCCTTTTTTTAAATTTCAGTTTTAATAGAAGTAAACATTTTTTTGTAAATGATTTTACATAAACTTATGTCTTGACTAAGGCTGAAGCTGTCAATATAAAAGTCTGAAACAAGTTAACTTCTATAATGTTAAGGTTATATAAAATGTTTGTTATAAAAAAAAAACATGATGAATATGAAAAAAAAAAATCGCAAAGGGTATTCAAGAATGTCTGTCCAAGCTAAGTATATTTATAATGATGTTTGCTTGTAACCTAAATGGCTATGAAGAAGCTACATTAGAAGTTCCCTGAAACTCAATGATAGTTAGAAACAGATTATTAATTTTTGGAAACTTTATCACTAGACCGTATGATATGTTTTCTTAATGTTAATACCAAAACAATTTGGTCCATTTCTCATTATAACATGTTTAATATGAGGAAATAGAATACAATTCTAAAGATTCTTTTTCTTTATCTTGATTAAACTTCTGTTTGAGTTTTGTAAAACTCAACAAATGTTTGACAAAGTAAGGCCAAACAAGTAATACTTGTGTGTTCACTAACATGCTGGAAAAATTAGGTGACATTTGATCAGTTGTTATTGACTTTAACTAGCTTTCCGTAGCTGCGAATACTCTCAGATCTGCACTTTGTGTCTTTTGTGTTTTTTAGCTAGTACTTTTATGTCCTATTTGTAAGATAGCTTTTCAACTGTTTCGATTCTTATGCATCCTTTACTTTAAAACATTCGGCTTTAAGCGTTTCTGATAAATGAATGGCTTTACTGATAAATCGGTGAGTGATGTGTTTTCTAAATGTAAATTCACAAAGGGCATACTGGTCATTGAATGATATTTATGAAAGTCAGTCTCAAATATTATTTTTAGCCAACCAGCATGTTGAATTTTGTAAATATTTTTCCTATGTAAGTTTTACTTTTTAACTCCTTCATGCAACAATGACCTTAAATGTATTTGGCTATTAATTTTAGGTCCTTTTATATAGCTCTTCAACTGTTTCGGTTCTTATACATCCTAGACTTTCAAAGATTCGTTTTTGGGCGTTTCCAATTCATAAAGCGTTAATTTCATTTTTTACAGCACTGTTGGTTATTGCTTCTAGTGGACAATCAGTCCCCGAGGGTATCGTAAATTAGGTTCTTATACATTTTGTACATCCTTGGCTTTCATCTATTCAGCTTTGAGAGTTCCTGATGAAGGTAAACCCAGATATGCGCTTCGGACGCATGAAATTTCTAAAGTGTTGTTTTCATTTCTTTGGTAGTAAGTACTTCGGCACTGAAATGGTTCACAACAAACGTTTCTTAAAATATCCGTTCTAAATCAAAAATTATGAAGAAACGAAGATTTCCACTCCCTCAGGCAAAGATAAACTTCGATGGATTTGGCTAGTATTTTTATGTCCTTTTTGTTCATTAAGCTTTTTAACTGTTCCGGTTCGTAAACATCCTTGACTTTAAAATATACGGCTGTAAGTGTTCCTGATAAATATAAATCCTGAAAAGTGCTTTCGGATTCATGAAATTTATAAAGCGTTGTTTTCTTATTTTGAGATAAATTGGCATAAAGAGAATAGGGGCGAATGAAAGCTCTAAACAACATGATTGCACAAATAGATTTTTATAACTCGACTTTTATCATCTGATTTATGAGACAATTTAGAAAAAGCATAGTACAAAACTGTCTTTTTAAATAGAGGATACGAATTCAATGATTAAAGATACATTTATTTTTCCAGATATATGTGCATTCGGTAAATAATACCACATACACATTGGACAGGACAATTCAAGATATATTATTCAGAAAATGTTGCGAGGGTATGTTTATTCTTTAAGCGTTGTTTTTTTTTTCTTCATCAAAAGCAAGACTTAAAAGACCTAGGCTATGTTTTTATGTTACCAGTTGTCTCTGTCTACAAGAACCCCTTAGCTCTGTACGTCATATATAAGATCGAAATTCGACTGTACATTAAAAAGCTGGAGAACAAACCATTTTTAAATTAATGAATATATATAAACGAATGTTGTTTTTTGTGTACGTTTTCAAGAGATGCAATAATCTACAAATAGAACAGAAGATTTTAAACTGCTGCTAATTGATGTAAGAGAGTGAATCTGGGAAAAAGCGGTTGGGGTAACCAAGCCACTTCGAATGATACTCCAGATAAAAAAAGCTATACCATTAAATGACACTTTGCCATGGTTAGTCATTTTTTTGTGTCGACATAAATTATCATTGATATGTTCTTCTTTGGTAATTTTACTGTTTATAAAATGATCAATTACTCGAAATACTACGGTTTTTCTACCCCCTCCCCTCTTTCCCCTGTCATGAATAGATTGCCTTAGCTTATATGGTACAACGTTTTTGAATGTTCGGTTTATAATACTGTCTAACTCTTGTCTTTACGTATTTGTTTTTTCTTAATCGATTTATGAATTTCGAACAGCGGTATACTACTGTTGCCTTTATTTGCTTACTCAATTACTTCATATGGCCTCCCAACTGATTTGAATCGAGTCTAACCAATGGATCTTTTGAAGACGTAACGTGCATCTGGGGTACAAATTATGAGCCTGATATCTTTACAAACACTGGATCAATACCACAGCTGGTTGACATTTAGCTCAGTAGTCAGCACTTATGATATATTCTTTTTTCGGTAAATGTATTGTTTATGAAATATTGAATTAACCGAAAAACTCAGATTAGTTCTACCACCAGGAATAGATTGCTTTGACAGTATTTGGTTGTTAATGCTTCTCAACTATGTATTTTATTTTGCCTTTTAATTATTTTGGTCCGAGCCTAACTTATGAGCCTTATGTAAACAAAACACGTTTAGCGTACCAAAGTATGAACCTGGTATCTTTGATGACCTTTAACGTATATCGTACTAAGACTGATACTGTTCACTGTATATAAGAATAAGAAAGTTCGGTATGTTTGCCAATTAGGCAGCTATCGAATCGAGACCAAATGACTAGAACGTAACCGACTATAGATCTCCATACGGTCTTCGGTAATGAGGAAAACACTTACCGTATAGTAATCTATAAATGGTACTGACATCTCAAGATGATTAAACAACTCAAACTAGAAAACAAAACGGCCTGACAATGACAATTAACTTAACTCGAAACAAATATGACAGACAACAACTAACCACTACCACTGATTCAATTACTTCTATCAAGGTTAACACGTTTACAAGCGGTTTACCCTAAAATTAACCTAGGACAGTTTTGATACAGCACAACATCAGAACAAACTATATAAATCAATTGGCACACAACACAAAAACCACACAACAAAAATACAAAAGACGCAAAATATCGATATTAAGGTTTTCAAAGGAATTAAAAGCTAGTACAAAGCCAGGTAAAACTAATGAATACATCAAGTTTTCCTAGTTTTAAATATCAATCACTAGTATTATAGACTATTTTTCAATCTATTGTACTTCAAACTGAATCAATGTATTTGTATTGTTATATTTTTAGATAGACAATTTAAATTGTGTTCACTAATATAATAGTGTATTGTTATAATTGGTCAATGACTCGTAAAATTGAAAGTAAACATAAAACGGTGGCGTTGATCGTGAATGTTAATACTGTTTTTTTCAAATTAAATCAACGAGGCATAGCGGTGTTAAAATGTAAATCAAATCGTGTACTTAAAAACAAACTACTAAAGAATGTCGATCCAAATCATAACTTTGAATGTAAACGGCTTACGTGATAAAAAGAAATGTAATTTAGTTTTCAATTGGTTAGCTAACAAAAAATATGATTTAATTTGTCTACAAGAAACACATTGCACAGTAAATGATATAATACAGTGGCAAAATGAATGGACAATAAATGGGGGCGATAAAAGTGCTTGGAATTGCGGAACCAGTGATTCTCGTGGTGTCTCTATTTTACAAACCAAAAATTGTCCCGTCGAAGTTGTTTGATAATACTAACTCGCAAAACGGTCGAAAAATAAAATGCAGCATCAAAACGGAAAGTGCGATTTATCATATATCAAATATATATGCCGATAATAGTGGCATCGAGAGGAAACGGCTATTTGAATCGTTTCATAAATTTTGTGGTAATTTTACAGATGGTAGTGTAGATCATTACAATATTTTGGTAGGGGATTTTAACTGTACACTTGACAAAACAAATGATAAAAATCCTTCTCATTCTCGTGATGATATTGGTACAAAGGAATTACTTTTTTAATGTCACAATATGATCTAAAAGATATATATTGAGGGACAGAAATCCAAAGGACAAACTGTAAACGTTTCAATGAGGAAACTCTAAGTCTAGAATCGACTATATCTTTTGTGATAAAAGTCTTACAAATAAAGTTTACAGTGTTGGTATTTCACATTGTCCTTTAAGCGATCATGATCTTGTTTCGTTCAAATTAAAACTTGATGAAATACAAAGAGGTCCGGGTATATGGATAATGAATATAAATACAATAAAAAGTTAAGAATTTAAGAAAGCATTTGAAATTTGGTGGGAAACCTGGAAAAATTAAAAAAATAGGTTCTAAAGTATTCAAGATTGGTGGGATGTCACAAAATCACAAGTAAAAAAGTTAACAATGGAAGTAAGTAAAACCTTTAACAAAAATAGTCAAAAAAGTTATATTATTAACCTTGAACAGAAATTAGAAAAACTCAAATTAAATAGTATCACGTCTGGGGAGGTTGAAAATAAGATAACAGAAATAGAATCACAAATTAAAATCTACCATGAGAACAAATCAGAGGCGTCAAAAATAAATGCGGGTGTTAAATGGACGGAAGAAGGGGAAAAATCGTCAAGCTACTTTTTCAATCTCGAAAAGCAAAACGGAAAAAACAAATTATGGAGTCGAAAAAAAAACAGAAAATGGGCATTATAAATACAATATAGACTAACTACTAAATGAACACGTTAAATTCTACTCAAATTTATTTAGCTCCGAGGGATGGCATTTGGAAAGTGCTCAAGATTTAACAAGCCACATCGAAAACAAACAAAATGACGACGACAAAAAAATTACTAGACCGTGATATTACCGCGGAGGAAATAATGAAAGTTTTAAAAATTATAAAAATAAATAAATCCCCAGGGGAGGACGGGATCATATCCTAATTTTATTTAATGTTTTGGAATATCATACAAGAAGCATTTCGAACGTTATTGCAAGAAATATTTAATAAAAAAACATTGTCGGACTCACACTATAAGGGAGTTTTAACATTACTATTTAAGGGCGGGGAACGAGAAAATATACGAAACTGGCGCCCTCTTACACTACTGAATTGCGATTACAAATTATAGCCAAATTAGCAGAAAGATTAAAAATAGTCCTTCCAAAACTTATTCACCCCGACCTAAAAGGGTTTGTTAAAGGCAAACATACAACGGAAGCGAATAGGATACAGGATATCATTGAATATATTGATGATGAAGATGAAGAGGGTATAATTGTCTTTGATAGGATAAAATGGGGTTGGCTAGACTTTGTTATGAAGGAATTTAATTTTTGGGACAATTTTCGTGGTTGGGTTCAAATGCTATCAAAACGTGCAAAGACGTGTATTAAAACAAATGGCTACGTCTCAAAATATTTGTCAATTTCTAGATCAGCCAGACAGGGGTGTCCTATAGCCCCTTTTTATATATATTACAGGCAGAGCCCTTGGTCTGTGCAATATGGGCAGACAAAGACATTCAAGGCATTATATTGCCTGGGGAAGAAAATGGGGAGCTACTAGAAACCAAATTGAATATGTGTGCAGGCGACACACAATTATTTAATAAAAATGAAATTTCTGTTAGAAAAGAGTACATGTATATATGCAGAGCAAAAGTTGAACTCTTTATCGAAAAAATATAGGAAGATATACTCTATATCAGAGCGTAGCAAGAGTAGTTTTAATTCGTTTTTCATGTGGAATTTCAACAAAGCCTGTATAGACAGCAAATTCAGTTTAATTTTATCGAATTTGCATTTATTACGTATTTTCCAAATACTAGTAGCCCATTTAAAATACAGTATTATTAAATGATATGAGCAAATCAGCCCTAATACGCATAAATCAGCATGTTCAATACTGATGACGTTGCCCTGTCGATATAAATCAAGAGTAAATATTGCTTTTCAGACAGGGCCAATACGAAAAAAAGCCGTATTGGCCCATGGGCTTATACGGGACGTTCACTTTCGGTTTCAATTGTTTTACGCCTTACTTAACTTTGGACGTATCGTTATGCTTAAAAAACATTTGTATTATATTTTTTTAACTTCAAATCATAAAATAAAAAGTTTAAATGATGTTCAGTGTTTTGTGACGTCTTGAAGTCTTGAAACGGAAATATTTCACAGCCTTTTCGAGTACGACTTTCGATTATTGACACTGTTTCATTTCCGATGATCAATCATCAGAACGCAGATGATCCAAGAGTAATAATAATTAAACTCCTAACTATCTGTCTGTCGATACATTTATTTTTGGCATTGCACAAGTCATGTCTTCTTTGACTGTCCATGACGTTAAAATACTAAATCCCTGGGATGTGTTTTAGTTGATTTTAGTCTCTGATGCATGATTGTTTATTATTAATTGTTTTGGCTTTTAACTAGCTGTCAGTAACTGCGAGTACTCTCAAATCGTACTTTCTTGTTTATTTGACCTGTCGATACTAATTGTAATGCTTTTTTGTTATTTAATGTTATTCGTGGTTATATCTGGTCTATATACCAGCTTTGATAAGTGTTTGGTATTACTATAAATTTTCACTTCGTACTTTGAACATCAAAATTATTAATTTTGTAAAAATATTTCGTTTCTTTATTGGAACTGTAGAGGTATACCTAACAGCAAAGTTATTTTCATTTATCTGTGTTTAAATGAATTGCAAATGGCTGATATTTTTGTTCGAGCATATTGTTTTTCTTAAATTGCTTAACATTTCATACCGGTATAACATGTTACTTTTATTATTCTTCCCTTAGTTTATTTATTTTGTATTTACATTGTATCATAGGTCAAATTTATTTGTTCAGTGTATGTTCACTGGTGTTAATATGTCCTTTGATTGAGTTAAGCTATTTCAGTTGATATTTTATAGTGTGTCTTTCTATGTTGTGATGTTACACTATTGTTTTAGAAAAAGGATGAAGGTTTGGTACCATTAAAACGTTTAAACCCGCTGCATTTGTTTGCAACTGTCCTAAGTCAGGAATGTGATGTTCAGTAGTTGTCGTTTGTTGATGTGGTTCATAAGTGTTTCTCATTTCTCGTTTTTTATATAGATTAGACCGTTGGTTTTCCCGTTTGAATGGTTTTACACTAGTAATTTTTGGGGCCCTTTATAGCTTACTGTTCGGTGTGAGCCAAGGCTCCGTGTTGAAAGACCGTACTTTGACCTATAAAGGTTTACTTTTATAAATTTTGACTTTGATGGAGAGTTGTCTCATTGGCACTCATACCACATCTTCTTATATCTAATTAGTTCTACTGCTCTAAACGAAAGGTGTGTTCGATTCCATATATAATAATCTTATTGTATCTTAGGAGGAACTTAGTGAACAATATGTTATTTTTTCAGAAAGAGAACTAATATTTTTTTTGTAATCGATATTTGAATCTATATCCGTGCATATTATGTATATTAGCACATATATCATGTTTTTACTACATTAGTACTTACCACATGTGCTTTATCCTGTTATAATCCATACGTATATTACAGAATAATTAAAATTTTTGTTCAATCACATCAATAATTTCCATTCAAATTATAACTATCATTTTTCTTAATCAAATATATAGTTTTCAAGTTTAAATCAACACATGGTAGTCAGTGAACCGGATATACGATAATGATTATGTATTACAGTGATGCATATCAGGTAAAATCAATTGTATTGGTTATTTAAATACATTCCAACAGTATGTAAAACTGTGGGAGTTTAAACTCATTTGATTTTTTTCCCTGGTCAAGTGCGGCTGTGAAAATACAGGGGTCCCTAAGTATGCGACCTGGGCTACTTAGGTATTTATCTATCAGGAAATGATTGAATAAAAATATGTGTTAAGCCTGAAAATAAATATCAATCACTACATATCAAATAAATTTTATGTAAACACAACAAAAATAGTCTTAGAAAGGCATGACCTGGCGAATACTGCAAGTGTAAACTAATTTTTTAAAATAAATAATTAGCCTGAGAAAATGTTGTTGAAAAAATAAAAAAAAAAAAAAAAAAAACATGTCTACTTCTCTGATGGAAATGATGCCAAAGCCTTGTAATTCTAAGTTTGATGCCCAAAACGAATGTTGTAAAACTGGCGCGAAAGTATTTAGTAATTTGCTGAAATGGTTTTAAGTACAAATCATTTATAAAGTTACTGTTTCTTTGGGCATATTGATAAAATATTGCTTTATCATTTCAATGTTTGTACTGAAATGAATTTGAGGTGTAAATCAAATTCTTACGAAAATTAAGTAGCCTTCTATGCATTAACAACAGACACAACACTATGAAATACCTGCCCGTTGCTGTTTGGTGAGAGCATATTGCAACCTCTAGGTTTCATAGTTAACTTTCATTATTACTTCATGGTTGCATTTACTTTGACACAACATGTGTGTGTTGAAATATATTGCACCTAGTTTAAAAATCATTACAATTGAGTTGGATATGATTTAAAATTCCGATACGATATCAAAAATTTTATATTTAAAAAAAATAAAATCTGAAATTGACATCATCACGAATTGTGTCATTTATAACTTCATATGAAATTCCTAGTATAAATACTTTTTCGGATGTTCTTATGCTTTCGTTCTGTGTAATACATGAGTCATACGTTGGTTTAGACCCCAAAATAATATAACAAATGTGAAAACGCAATTCAAGGGTGAATTGTAAGGTAATGACAGCATTCCAAGATTTTATTATTGATATACATGTAATAACTGTTTCAACTCGAAATAGATATTTATACCGATGGTATCACTAGCTCAATATTCGGTACTTCGGTTCTAATACTATGTATAACAAACCTGTCTTATATTGTCCGTTAATGCATTTATAAATTCTTAAGAAACAAAGATTGCAACTCCCTCTGTCAAAATTTACCTACAATGGATTTGTCTATTACTTTTAGGTCACTTTGGTCATATTGCTCGTCAACTGTTTCGGTTCTTATACATTATTGGCTTTCAAATATTCGTCTTCGAGCGCTCCAGTTGAAGGTTAATCCAGAAAAGTGCTTTGAATACATGCCAGTTATTATAAAACTAATAAACTGAACGTTTTCAGACGAAAAAGATAAAGAAATTCTTCACAACAAAATACTGGATTTTGTTGATTTATGGGACAGACCAGACATTGCAGAGAAAGCAATATTCAATTTAGAAAACATAAACAATTTGAACAGATTGCAGACGTCACAGGTACACATTTCATTTTTTTTTAAATTCTTACATCTAATATACTATTTGTTCAAACTGTTTGTGTAATAGCATGAATAGTTTGTAGTTAAACCTATCTCATTCAACAACAAAACAGTTTCACAGAGGAGTTTTGTACCTGGTTGCTCTTTTTCTTTTCTTATTTGTTATATTTGTCCTAGATAACTCTTAACCATCATGAGTATATACGTTGGATAACTTTGAAGTAAATGTACCTTTTTTGGATCTATTGGATGTTTGCTTCCAAACGATGTCATACTGTAAAAAGAGTTAAATACTTGTTATATTGTATAATTTATCAACCTATAAGTAACAGTTTGAAGTGTTTCTAACATTTACGATAAAAACTTAACAAAACATGACTTATAAATAGCTTTTAACTGTCTATTATATTATATTATATTACGAAAGGAATGTTTATTAGGAAATATTTTACAGTACAATCTAGGCGAAAAGTACAGCTATTTGTCAAAACTATTCAGAAATGCATTACTGAACAATAACGTAGATGTGGTTAAGCAAGTGCTTGAATATATCCAGGATAAAGAACTTTATAGACTGTTTTTAGAGAACTTCCTAGAGGACTTGTATAAGGTAATGCAAATTTGACAATATGGTAAACATGTGTGTATTTTTTTATGAATGGAATAGTGATCACAACAAATATGGCGTGAAACCCGGACTAAGTTATAAAATAAATAAGTAGTTATCTTTTTAAAGTTCAGTAAAATATTCATACAAGCACATACTTTAAAAAAATCATTTGAATGGCTTCTTTCAAGATCAATAATAGAATAAGCCTTAAAATACGCCGGCAATTATATTACGACAACAAATAGATTGCAATTAACATCTTTACATTAAAAAAAAGTCGCCTTTAACATCATGCTGATTGATTCAAAGAGTACATGTAGCGGTCGTCATACCGGATACTCTAGTATTTTTTTACTTTCAATTACACTGGTAAAGCAAATCTATTAACTTGATTGTGGATGCAAAATGGTATTCTTTATAGACATATTGGAAAATAACAAATCGTTCTACACTCATATTGTATTTGATACTAGATACCAAAACTTTGCAAAGGAGAAGGTCCGGTAAGGGCTAATTTGGCCTAAAATTTGAAATACATCTGATAAAAGAATTTTGACTTTTTTTAAACACTAACGTGTCGACCTCTGTCGATTCAATTAGTTTATGTAAAAGATTTAAACTGATTTGGTTAGCAAAGACGCCCAAATTCAAGCTTAGATATAAACATTCTTTCAAATATGCCATAAAAAGTAAAATAGCAAAATACCGAACTCCAAGGAAAATTCAAAACGGAAAGTCCTTTATCAAATGGCAAAATCAAAAACTCAACGACATCAAACGAATGGAAAACAACTGTCATATTCCTGACTTGGTACAGACATTTCCTTTTGTAGAAAATTGGTGGATTGAACTTGATTTAATAGCTAGCTAAACCTCTCACTTGTATGACAGTCGCGTAGAATTCCATTATATTGACAACAATGTGTGAGCAAAACAAACAGACATAATAGGTAAATTTTTCAAAAATTGGGGTAGAGCAGTCAACATTGTGTTATAATCTTAATCACTATAAAAACAAATAACTATTTCAACAAAGAAAAACAAAATGGCATATAGACAATCTATAGACAAAGTACATAAGAAAAACCAGAAGACAAGAATACAAATAATTGACCATAGCACAATAACACAATGGCGGGATGTATAAATACCGAGCCACGCCAGAAGTATATTTCCAAAAATGGACTAAACAGTAAAGGTTAAAAAGGTTATACAAAGACAAATAAAAGGAACACTATAACACGTAATTGAGATGGTAAACAACGCCAGTACCTAGAATCTACCCTTCAAGACCATCATGTGTTATTTGTGAAGTTGATACAGAATATTTATCAACAAGGTTTGGCATCTTCCGATGAACTTTTTTTAGAAAAAGGACGAGACGTTCTTTGACATAACCCTGGTTCATCAACTTTCTGCACAGACACTGGTGTCGTAATATAAAGTCTGAGTAGGAGCTGCAAGCTTTTGAATACTGAATGAGTTGGGAATGTTTATCCCATATGCAAGTGAAGTTGGTATATTGCTGCTACCTTGTATTAGATCATGAAAAAACTTTCGTTTTGAAAAAAAAAAAAAAAGAAAGAAAAAACACACTGATTTGAACAACTAATACTCCGATGATGATATTATGAGCATGCTGATCGACAACGCATTGGTTGAGTTTTATTTTGATGAATTGATAATTCAACATGATGTCGGTGGGTAAATAATTGTTCACGCCACTGGTAGACTTGTTTGTGTTCTCATATGAAACACAATATATATTGAACCTTCTCTTAGACCAAACAAAAAAGGATCTTGCATATGTTTTAACTTCTCTTCTTAATATATTGAGAATGGTTTGTCACTCAAAAACCCACATTTTTTGGATGTGATGGCAACTAATTTATTTAATGAACATATCCATTTAATTGACAAATTCGACAACACTTACCGTTATCTTCGTAAATAATGGAGAATTCTTTAAATTAACTGCAGAAATGTACACAAAGGAACTTACTTACTTGGACGGTGATGTTCATCTGGGACAATTCGACGGTGTTTATATATCCCAACTCGTTCGCTATACCCGTGTTTGTAGTGACGCTTTGGATTTTAATAAACATAATATATGTTCTTCTGGTAAGCTATTACATTGTAACTTAATTTATCGAGAATGGTCATCGTGCCTGACAAGATCTAAAACAAGTGTTTTAGTTATTTTTATAAATGAATGATAAGAAACAGATGGGGCAGTCGATATACAGAAATTATACAGCCTTGTGCATGAATAATTTATGTTCGTTTGAACGAAGGGAATTTAGAAAATAACGTAATATATGTTCTACTGATAAACTATTAACTTAAGGATTTCGTTACCACACATTGCTTAAAATCTTTACTAAATTGTTTCATAGTTATAAAGAATTAGTTTGAAAATTTGGTTATTTCTGTAGAGAACATATTTCAAACGGGATAGCACATCCTTATTTTTACGGCGATGCTGTAAGCCAAACCATAAACTTAGATACAATACTGGTAAACTTATCGATCCTTAAAACAAATTTCTTCTAAAAGGGTACCAATTCAACACTGTTATCTTTTAATATTGTTTTTTTTCGGTATACATATTGATTTTAGTATCAATAAATTAAAACCCAACTAAATATGATTGTTATATACATATGTACATTCACGGTACTAGAATCTGTCTATAGATATAAGAAGATGTGGTATGAGTGCCAATGAGACAACTCTCCATCCAAGTCAAAATTTATAAAAGTAAACCATTATAGGTCAAAGTACGGTCTTCAACATACCTATAATTCGGCATTGCACGAGGTTGTGTTTTTCTTTCACTGTAAATGGCGCCTTTCAACTTAATTTATTTGAAGTTGGATGTGTTATTGGCTTTGAACTAGCTTTCAGTAACTGGGAGGATATGTACTTTGTGTCTGTTGTGTTTTTTTAAATGTTTTTGTGATTTATATCGATCTGATGAGTAAAGCCCTGTTCATCTAATTTTAATAGTTTATTTCTTATGTTGTGTTGTTATGACACTGTCCCATGTTAGGGGGAGAGTCGGCGTGCTCGCAAACATTTTAACCACGACACATTTTGTGTGTGCCTGTCTAAAGTCAGGAGCCTGTTAATCAGTGGTTGCCGTTTGTTGTTGTATATCATTTTTTGATTTTCGTTAATTGTTTTGTACATAAATCAGACCGTTAAGTGTTGTCGTTTGGATTGTTTTATATTTGTCATTTCGGGGCCTTTTATAGCTTGTTTAGTGGTATTGGTTTTGCTCATTGATGAAGGTCATACGGTTACCTATAGTTGCTATATACTTCTACGTCATTTAGTTCATTGGTTGTTGAACAGTTGTCTCATTGGCAATCATACCACATCGTTTTTGTCTATAGATTTTAAGAACCAATTAAACCAAGAAAGTTTGGAAGTATATTGTTTTCCTTGATATTGACACTGTTGGCGGATTTCATACTATTGTATATGATACTTTTAACTTTTTAGCTGTTAACTTCCAGTTTTTGTAGCAGTATCAAACCCGTTGCACCATCGTATATTGTTTACATACATGTATCTCAATTAGTACGTTAATCTCGTCCATTGTCGCATTATAGGTACTTCGTTAACGAGGATGTAATTAGTGAACCAATTTTTTAACTGAAGTAGTCATTTTGATCAAAAGGACATTCAAACTCATAAAAAACGACAACGTTTAAAGTTGTGTTCAGTCTTTCTGCTCATTTTCAAACTTATTCACTTCTGTAAATTCAGCACTGTTCCAACAATACGCTTGCATTCAACTAAGATCTGCTATACGTTGTAGGTTGCACTTCGTAAATACAGCTGTTTCACAAACCACGCCTCTTTTGGGTCGATATATAATATTCATATATATTTTATTTTGTTTACGTACTGGTTCAAGATATGATCTCTATGTTTCATCTCACAGAGACATAACTTGGGAATGTTACCAGTTTAAATACACATGGATAGCGGCCAAATTGAATTCGGAGGAATACTGTGAAAGGAGGGGTACTACTCTGCTAAGCCCCGAGTTTTAGTACCAACTTGCTGACTTTATTTTGGATTTATCTATATAACATTTATCATATTATTGTGCTGAATATGCGTGTAATATAATAATGGACAATATTTATCAATTAAATTTTAATTTTTTTAAACAAAAAGACCCGTCAACGTAGTGGCATAGTTTACCAAAGTATTCTTCATTTGTCCCTTTTAATTTGGTCTTCTGATAACCGCTCTGTTTGTAAAAAATGGTGTAAACGGGAGAAATCTGACAAAAAGTCACTTGATTCCTATTTAAATACATGTCTGAATATTGTTGATATTCGCATATCACATTTCGAAAATAATTTAGAAATAAATAAAAGTAAGTCATACGCCCATTTCTTGGATTAAAAACAAAATTCAAGTACTCGCAAAATGTTTTGTGATCGTACCGTCCGAAAAAGCTGTCAACAATGTGGTGGTGGTATGACGAAAATACTTCACTGAAGTCTTTAAGAGTGAAATTATAGATTCAACTACCACAGCTCAGCTTAAGGCCTCCTCTGAACATTTGAAGGTCCCCACTATGTATTGGTTACCTAAACTACACAATAAACTCGTAAAATATCATTTCATCTCGGCATCTAGTAAGTGTTCAACTACTAATCTTTTGGTGCTTTTAACAAGTTCCTTAACTACTATCAAAGAAGTTATCATTAAGTTTTGTAATAAAACATATGCAAATAGTGGAATTACCCATTTTTGGATTGTAAAAAATTCTTTAGATGTTTTAGATAAATAACGTGCTTTTGATGGTCCTTTTAATTCGGTTGACAGTTTTGACTTTTCCACTCTTTATACTACACTTCCACACAATCTTATCAAACAGAAGTTTTCTATCTAATTGAATGGTCGTTTGATAAATCTGATTGCAAATTTATTTGCTGCAACTCATATACAGCTTTTTTCTCAAATAAGAAAGGTAAATATGCTAGATATACTTACTAGAGGTGTGATGAGATGATAAAAGCCCTTAATTTTCTCCTTAACAGCATTTATGTACTTTTCGGCAATACAGTTCTTCGACAGGTTGTAGGTATTCCTATGGGCCCCAGTTGTGCCCGTTTATAAGCAGACTTGTTTTTATACTGTTATGAATCACAGTGTATGGCCAAACTCAGTAAAGAGCCGTCTAAATTCCATTTAATTGATTAATTCAACAACACTTACCGTTATCTTGATGATATTTTTTCGTTAAATAATCAACAATTCTCTAAATATACTGCTGAAATTTACCCAAAGGAACTTACCTTAAATACATCAAATATTAACAGCAATAACTGTCCTTTCCTAGATTTAGATATTTCAGTATTACACAAGAAACTCTACACAAAAATTTATGACAAAAGGGATGATTTATTTTTTCCTATTGTTAATTTTCATTTTTTTGGACGGTGATGTTACTTTGGCACCGTCTTACGGTGTTTATATATCCTAACTCGTTTGCTATGCTCGTGTTTGAAGTGACGTTTTGAATTTCAATGAGCGTAATCTATGTATAACTATTACATTATTAAGTCAGGGATTTCGTTACCACAAATTAAATTACTTAAGACCTTTACTAAATTTTTCTATAGTTACAAAGATTTGATTTGCAAGTTTCGATGTACCTGTTGAAAACTTATTTCACACGGAATATCACATCCTTAATTTTATGGTGATGTTATTAACCGAGCTCTGCAATTTAGATACGATCCGGGTAAACTTATCAATCCTTTAAATGAACTTATTCTGAAAGTTTACCTATTCACACTGTAATTAAATCTTTGAATATTGTTTTTATTGGAATAAATATTGATTTTGTTATCAGTAAATTAAAACCATACTAAATATTACACATATGTACTTTCACGGTACTACAATCTGTCGATACTTATATTTTGGCATTGCACAATGTCATGTTTTTCTCTGACTGTTAATCCATTAAAATCCATTGGATGTTGGATATGTATTGATTGATATTTTTGTCTTAGATACATGATTTCTTTTATTAGTTGTTATTGGCTTTTAACTAGATGTCAGTAACTGCGAATACTCTTAGATCTGTACTTTGTGTCTTTTTTGTTGTTAGGGATGATGGGTGGATATATACCCTGTCACGTCCAGTCTGTGTTTTTGTTTGATGTTTTTCTTTGTATCGATCTGATGAGTAAAGCCTTTTTCGCTTGATTTCTATAGTTTGTTCTTATGTTGTTCTGTTGCACCACTTTCCAATGATAGGGGAGGGTTGAGCGCTCATACACATGTTTAACCCCGCCACATTCTTTATGTGCCTGTTCCAAGTCAGGAGCCTGTAGTTCAGTAGTTGTCGTTGGTTTCAGTCTGTTATATTTGTTTTTCGTAAATTGTTTTCTTATAAATTATGCCGTTAGTTTTCTCAATTGAATTGTTTCATATTTTTCATGTCGGGTCCTTTTATAACCGACTGTACGATATGGATTTTTCTCATTGTTGAAGGCCGCACGGTTGCCTATAATTGCTTACATCCACTTCATTTGAACTTTGGTGGATAGTTGTCGCATTGGCAATCATACCACATCTCCTTATTTTTATATAGTTGCCTAAAAAGAACTTAGTAATCTCCCTCATACAGGCAATATAGTAACAAACTATTTATCTCCACTTTAGTATATTTTGAAATATGATTTAAATGTTTTATCCATTTGATACAATAATTTAACAATTGTATAAGTCATAAGTCAGGTGATCTATTTCGCCCCTTCCATTTTTTAAATTAAAAATTGTCATTGCCGAATATTAAACAAACTATGATGGCATATCTTAATTTCGATGACTCGATGAAAAAAAACCGAAAACACCGTCCTCTATTAAACGACAAGCACTCAGATTGAAAAAAAAGAGAGATTGAATCAAAACGATTGTCTCGTATATGCTATTTATTTTCAAAAAAGAAAACATTTCCATTTTTTGTTTTTGTTTTTGTTTTAAAACATCAAAAACGAAAGCACTTTTTCGTTTTTGTTTTCTCAAAGGCAAAATGTTTACAAGTGAAACGTTTATGGTAATACTTTTTCCTTGTTTTATACAAATTTCGGTATAACATTGACTTCATAATAACAATTGAAATTACGTGGAATTTTCGAATAAAATGTTAACTGATATTGGAAATAAACGAAATATTAGAAATTTTCTTTTCTTTAATGGTGTTGACTAATTTGAGTTACGAAATTTTTAGAAACTGTCATTTGTTTCTGATTTGGAAAGGATATAATCGATTGATACTTGCATATCTAATTGTGTTTGTATATTATAATCTTATTTTTATTATACGGCACATTTGCCTTGTTTACATTAAAATTCATTTTTGTAAAGGGATTTGGAAATATTTGAAAAAAAAAATACATTTACCAATTAGTATTTCAGTTATATTTTTCTTTGTGGTAAATTTGAAAATAGAAATTATATTTTTTGTGTTTTTACAAATTAAAAAAATCGATCATTTATTCAAATTTCAAATCTGATCTCCACAAGCTGCCAGCCTGCTCAAAGTACTGAAACATCTTCAGCCAATCAATTTGAGTCAAGCGAATATATTCGAACACAGAAACAACCAAAATACGACAGAATTAGATAGAAAATCGTTAGAATGGATGGGGTTATAAACACAAGACTACTAAGAAAACCAGAAAGCAGATAGTATCACAAGGAGCAGACTACTAGAATACAAAAGTTTTGAATAATATTTCTTTAATTTTCTTTTTCTCTTAGCATTGTGTCTTGAAGTTTTGTGATTAAAGCTTCAAAATGTTGACAACATTATTTATTCTATTTCGAATATCTGTTTAATAACATTAATGGTACCAATTTGATTGAACACAGTGACCATTTCAACAATTCTTGTCTGTTCAATGAGACTATAGGCCACAATATTTCCAAATCGAAAACAAGCTATCGCTGATGCAAATGGAAGAAAAACAGCAATACCCGGACAAGGAGTCAATGTCAATGTTGTTCTTTTTTTTGAAATTTATTCAAAATATAAGTAAATGATGAGTCTCCACATTTTAGCAATATGCGAGTTATTAAAACAACAGCATTATTTTTATCAACATTGAACCAAGAAGACATTGGTCTCAATTTGAACATTTTTGTTAACGGTGTCTGGGTTTGCAACCTTATAAAATGAGAAAGGTAAGGACAGGTACAGAGAGTTTTTTCTTAAAGATTAATATTACTTGTGGATTTCAGGTATTTATGGAACGTTATTTCTCGCTAATTTAACTTACAGTTACAGTTACTTGTTTTTCAGTTTACTGGCTGCTTGGCAGGATTTTTAATTTCGAAGGTAAATAGTATATAACCAAGAATTTACAAAAAATACAAGAACCATTTATTCAAATTATGTGATATAGGTTTGTACGTATCATCAGAGTACTGTTCAAGATTATCAAATGAATTTCATAATTCAAATCAAAATAATACCTGCATATTTTGCTAAATGTGGTTGGCGTTTGTATTATCGTCTAAAAAAACGTTTAAATTAGAATGACAGACAAAAACGAATGTTATAATCATAGTACACTTTATCTACATTCGTATAAAGTCAAGTTTGTTCTTTGTAGTTTTTTGTACAATCTATAGGAAAGGGTCAGGATGTATAAAAAAGTAATTAAATGGCTAAATTGTAAATATTTTCAGCTTATTAAATGTGTGTTTCTTTCATTGTTATATGATTATGTCGATATAGTCTTACCAGTCTCTTCATGTCTCGAATAAGTAAAAAATTATATTTATTTCACATCAATGACCATGTAACACTACAAAATGGTTAATAAAAGATAAATAAGAACAACGGCCTTACGAAAATAGTTTAACAAACATCGACATCTGTTTTGTCGGAGATAGATCTGACATCAACAACAATGCAAGTGACGTTGTTTATCGGAATCAGTTTGATCATTTAATCTTTACTATGCGGATCAACACCATCGACAAAATATAATATTATGGACCTCGCTCTATGTCTGTATCATGTCTATAGAAAGGGATGCAAATTCAAGTACAGCAATACTCATTAGTTGACAAATTGATGGTAATGGTATTGTAACTCATTCTGTCAGCTCGGTGATTAATTTTTACTTGATCCACAGCAAATCTCCAAACATGGTGAACTTCCTTATACATCATTTACATTTAATAATGTTTCATTTATTTCCTTCAACCAGTAATGCTGAAGCCACTCGGTATACAGCATATTTCAACACAGCGTTATTCATTACATAAATTATGATTGGAAACCCGTGTTACATATTGAAATTATAATAAATAAAAAAAACCTTTCATAATCTGCGACTGTTTTGTTTTGGCATTATTACACATCAAACACAGAACTTTTGAGACGTTTGTATTTTCCAATCAGACAACAACATCATAATACAATCAACTCACAAAAAGACTTTGCCGTCATACTATTTACTTATCAATGCTGATGGATTAAAAATGTTGTTATACCTATATACTGTTAACTCAGAAATTATTGCGTGCATTTATTATTGCGATTTCGATTTCAGGAAAGGCCTTATACAGATATATGTATCAAATATTTAAATGCGAGTTCTTATTATTGTGAGACTCGCCCAGTCGTTATAGACAAACATCTATGATTTTATAACTTAAGATTTCAATTGATTTGTGATAACGAAACCCCTAACTTATTAAATTACAAGTGAATTTAAGCCCGTTGATTTTTTAGCAGCACGTCGGATAAAATTGTTCTTTTTGTCGAAAATATTTACAATATGATTTTTGTGTTAAAATGACATATGTCAATCTAGGAAATGACCGTTATTGCTGTTTATATATTAGATGTATTAAAAGTCAGCTTTCTGAGCTAAATTTCGGCAGTATATTTGAAGAATTTGGGTTTATTTAACGCAAATATGTCAACAAGATAACAGCTAGTGTTTTTGTGTATACTAATTTAATGGTGAATCTTTTTAAAATTTGGCCATTAACTGTGAGTAATTAAACTATAGGAACAATAAAATTGAGAATGGAAATTGGGAGTATGTCTAAGAGACAACAACCCGACCAAAGAGCAGATAACAGCCGAAGGCCACCAATGGGTCTTCAACGCAGCGAGAAAATCCCGCAGCTGGCCCCTAAATAAAATTGTGTACTGGTTCAGTGAAAATGGACGTCACACTAAACTCCAAAAGTCTGCAACTTAAGAAGTGCAGTTTTGTTTACTTTCCATCGGTACTAGTAATGTCTGCAATATCTAAGATAGCTTCTGTATAATAATCTGTTTTAATTATATTTAAGCAAGACATATCTAAAGAAAACCACATTGTGAGAAAGATTAATGAAGCTGTGATAAAGATAATCGGAATCAAAGATTTGAAGCCTTTTATGGAAGGTAATGTAGTATAGTAAAATAAAATATATTGTTTTACGAGTTATATGTTAACAGTAACTGGACGATATAGAGATACCAGAGGAACATTAAAAGCCATCAGTCGAAAAATAAAATGACAAGGCCATGGCTTAAAAAGATAAAGACCAAAAGACAAACAACAGTATACACAACGGAACATGGAAAACTGAAAACTGAGCAACACGAACCCCACCAAAAACCAGGGGTGATTTCAGGTGCTCCTGCAAGGTAAGCAGATCCTGCTCCACATCGTGTTGCTCATGTACGTACACACTATATAGTAATCGTTCTAATCGTAATCATGTTTATTGACCATCACAACGACGAAAGCACATCCTATAAGGACGTTTTTACATCATATAATGAAGTAAACCGAAGCACATCGTGTAATGTTAAAAGCACATAATATAATGACATAACCACATCATATAAAGATGTATGCACATAATATAAGGGAAAATGCACATCAAATACGTATATTTGCACATCATATATGTATATGCGCACATCATTTAATGATCTATGCACATGATATAAGTGTATTTGCACATCATATTAGGATATTTGCAGATCACATAAGGATATTTGCACATCATATAATGTCAACCGGACACCATATAAAGGTGCTTCCACATCACCTAAAGAAACGTGCACATCATATAAATGTAACATCACATCATATAATAGCAAATGCACATCATATAATGAAAATTGACATAATCAGATAATAATGTCGTTCCATAGATGATGATGATATATTGCAGATTGTACAAAAAACAGGATACCGGAAAAAGATATTTTCAAGCACTTTTTTATTTGGGCAGTACTTGTGGACTGGAGGGACTTGGCAATGCTGTTTTGGAAGAGAGCGGACAGAGATTATATTTGTAAGTTTATGACTTTTATTCAAAAGAAGATATACCAGTCTGTAACACACACAAGTAAAGATTGATACCTTGACATTTATGTGTTAATCTTAACATTTTAAAGCTAAGTGTTGTTCGATTGTTTTCGACTTTGAAAGAATAACTGCTAAATACATGTAGACACAGGACATGTGTTAAGATTGTCAAAATCACAGTAACTGCAATTTACTAAAAGATGAACATGGAAACGACAATTGCTCACCGTAAGGTCTCCGTACATGATGATTAACCATACTGTATATTATGTTTTAAAAGCCCCGGTATAACATCATGTGCAACAATTAAAGTGAAAAAAATCAGCGGCCAGCTGACTTCTGTTAAAACATAAAACGAGGAAGAAATCAATATGACAGACAGCAACCACCGACAACACTGAATAACAGACTTCTGCTACTAGACAGGACAACAAATGCATGTACTGTTTCGAGGTTAAACATGTTGATGAATGGTTAATCATTTCCTGACCTTGGAAAGTGTTGGAAAGAACAACATAATACAAACGATTAAAACTAACAAAACGGCAAAAGACACAAAGTGCTTATATAAGATCTTTCACAGTTACAGAAAGCTTGTTCAACTTCTAAAAAGACATTTCTTTCAAAGACTTAAATATCAGTCAGTACATATGACATGACTTATAACAAACTGTTCGTATATTCTCTATTGATAAATTAAGAAATCAGAAAAAAAACTAAGGTTCCAACTCCCTCAAACAAGGTTGACCATTGATGAATTGACTATCTGTATGCCCCTTTTGGTTATTTATTTGTGTTTTATCTTATTCATCCCTGGCTTTGAAATGTTTGGGAATGAGCCCGCCTGACGAAGGTAAATCCATAAAAGTGCTTTTGACGCACAAAATGAATATTCCTGTTCACGCCAAATTTGTGAATACATGTAAGCTGAACAAGTATCTTGAATAACCTGACTGAAATTTGTTCGATTTCTTAAATACACTACTACTGGGTTGTGTACGTTAACGAAATCAAAGGTAGCTCTTTGTTACCCAAATGGGAGATATACAGTTTAAAACGATATAGTTATTAAATGTACTGGATTTAAAGTTAATAGAGTCAATACCTGTAGATCCGATCTGTTGAACTTTTGTTTTTAAATTTTAGGACAAATACCTGTAATGGTCTTTATGACAAGACAGCCGATTTTGACACAAAATGATAACGATACGAATGAAATAATAGGGCTGACTGAAAACGAATTGAATTAAACTTTTAGAAAACATAATGTGATTACTAAGCGGTATTTCACACATAATACGCATAACCATTGTCGCATATTTTTCTATATGCAGATAATATATCATTAATACTTAAGTGTAACAGTTTTTGATCTTTTTGTTCGTTCATTGCAGTTGATACAATGTTTTTATTACGTTGTCCGTAATCAACAATATTCATTATATCGGTTAAGAGTGTTGTAGATACCATTCGCTCATAATATTGTCATTTATCTTCCTGTGGTAGGTTGTCTTTAGTCATTTTATACAAGACCTATCTTTGCTGGAATTCTTAAAATGTGTATTTGATTTCTACTGGTTGTGTCTAAACGGCTTGAAGTGTTTGTAATTTCATGAAATTGATGTTGTTTTCCTATAGGTTAATTCTAATATCTGCGGAAAATGGTTAGATGTTCTTGTTTTCTTTTGAAAAAAAAAATCACGTCCTGTTTGTCGAACATATTCAACACCGCAATAAGGTTTAGATTATATAAAATTATTTATAATGCTTTGAGATTTTTCAAGTCATGTTCTTAGGAAATCCAAAGTGCAAAACTCTTCTATTCACCGATGACAGAATTTAACAATTTGACGTTAAATGGAACAGGCCTGTCATTTTCTGGCTGGCATAGGGATATTTGTAGATAGCCATGTACATTTCTATTGATTAATCTGGCTGCAAAGCCCTGCTTTTTTTCACAAAAAATGGAGAGTGCTCAATTTATAAAGGGACTGTTGAATTATGGCGGTTGAATTCATGGTAGATATTACGGTATTTTAAAGCAGATGATATGCGTGAAGTTGCTACGTATACATTAGTTTTATTTCTCGTAAAACAAAATGTTCTATGCTTTATCTCTGGGAGATGCAAATGAAATATGTAACTGTTGAAATCAAGATGAAACTGCTGTTATGAAAGTTGTTGATACTCAGATGATCTACAGGCATGATAGGAACCATAATCATTTAAATAGTGAAAAGAATATACGGTGACTTATAGTTGTTAACGTCTATGTTATTTGGTCTCTGGTGGTGAGTTGTCTCATTGTCAATTATACCACATCTTCTTATTCTTATATTAACAAAAAAGTGACAATTGTTTGACTGTTAAAGCAACAGTATAACATTGTCGGCAAATAATGATAATGAGTGCATGAGATATTTTTAACTGTAATTATCAAACCTCAATTCTTTGCATATAATTTGTTTAACTTTCTTTCTCTATAGGACACTTTAAGACAATATAGTCTTATTCGTTTGCATTATAAATTTTGTGATTTGACAGCTTTTTTTTACAATTCAAGCTGATTCATGGTGTCACTGTACAGTTTTATACACATTCCGTTTAGGTTCTGCATTATATGCAAGTGCCCTTGCTAAAAAGCTTGCTGAAAATTCCAGCTCAGAAGCATACATGGATAAACAGGTAGCTTTAATGGAAAGCTCTAGGTAAGCCATAATTAACTTGCCAGTTAACTAGGTAAACACTTAATTCATGCATAGAAGGAGGATTTGTGGAATAAACGTCATTGAAAAACAATACAAACAGCCAACAAATATCAAATATATTCCAACTTCAAAAACAATTCTGATTGCGTAAATGCCGAAATGAAAAAAATCCTGACGAAAAGCAATTGTGACCTCAGGATGGATTGTATAATACAAATGACAACAACAGTGGTACACAATGGCTAAGCATTTTTTTTTTTGCCAAATCAATGTAGAGAGCCAGCACTTCCCCCTTTATATCAAATACTAAACAGTCACTAAAAATCAGTCATGTCAGTAGTTTTCATCATGTCATATCTCAGGATGGTTTGTAAAACATAATGCCTAAACAATTCATGTAACATCAACTTAAGAGTGTCAGCATTTATTCCTTTTATTCAAATACTACACCTTCAGTAAAAGTCAGAAGTTGTCATATCTCAGGCTGATTTGTATCACAAAAATGCTTGACTGCATCAACCCAAATGAACATATGTGCACTTTATAATAAAAATTATACGACGTCCTCATAAATCAGTAAATTTTATAACTCATGATAGATTGTAGAATACAAATGACAGCAATATTGGTACACAAAGACTCAAAAAAATTATTCCACTTCAATTTAGAGTGCCAGCATTTCATCTGTTTATTGGAAATACAGAACAGTCACTAAATCAGTAGTCGAATCTGAATAGGGTCTATAAAACAAAACCATTTGCCCGCATTAACCAAAACTGACAATAATATTAATAATTTATTATGAAAAGTATAAAGCTATATCACAAATCAGTAAAAGTGTAAACTCAGGATGAATAAAAAAACTTCAAATGACAGAAGTATTGGTACACAATGACAACAATTGTATTTCCTGAAATCAGTTGAAAATGCCAGTATTACCTCTTTTTATTCAAAATACTAAACAGGCACTTTCCATACAAGTCATATCTCAGGACGGTTTGTATATCAAAAATGTTTGCCTGCAATTAGTTAAAACTGACAATATTTGTACTGTAGTATGCCAATTATAAAGCCACTTCATACAGTAAATTTATAAACCCAGGATGGATTGTAGAATACAAATGATCACGATATTAGTACACAATGACTACAAATTTTATTCCGCAACAAGTTAGTGTGCCAGCACTTCCTCCGTTTATTCTAAATACTAAACCGCCACTAAAAATCAGTAATTAAAAAAAAATTGTTTGAACATTCCGTCGAAAATATAATCGCATACCCAAGAAAAACAAAGCGAATTATGACAGTGTATGATGAATAATCCATGTAATGCATAAAAATATATTAAGAAGAGACTGTTAAAAATAGAGAACGAAGCAACTAAAACATTGTTGTTATATCCCAATACCTTGATCGTATAAATTCATTTTTCCAATGCGTTGAATGACCTTCTTATCCGCATTCGAATCTTTCCTTCTTTTATGATACCGGCAGGTACATGTATGCATATGTCGGTAAAAAAGCGAAATGTTATAACCAATATTTTATTTATATAAGAATAAATGTGTTTATATAAAGAGTCTCGGCGTAAAGAGCATATAATTTTGCTCTACTGAAAAATAGAGCAATACGAATATTGTTTATATAATCAAAGGTCAGGTCTGAATTGAAATGTGTAAAACCAGACAATCTGTCAAAAGCAGACCTGTTCTTAGGTCTGGTGAGGAGCTGACCTATTCTCAGAACCGGTCAAAAGCAGACCTGTATATAGATCTGGTCTGGAGCAAATAGACTTGTCAATAGGTCTGCGACAGTCCTTAAAATAGCATCCCTAGGTCTAGTATGCCAACAATGAAGTTAACTTTCTTGTCTGCTTAAAATGTCTTCTTTTGGAAAGCAGTCGAAAGTCTGCTCTAAGTTAACTTTTGTAGAAGTTATGAGTGTACCCATCTGTATTTTGTTGGTTGAGAAATTGTTAAACTAAAGGGCAAACTGTGATAAAGGTAAATGTATATATTCGATGAGAACGAATAATATACAATTAAATGTAGAAGTTGTACGCATCAGTGTTTTTTGTTTCAAACAACGTACTTGATTGGTGAGTACCATCCAATAAAACTATTGACTTATGGAATAAAAACATCGACACAACCCTAATGGCCACTGGTTGGATATAACATATCGAACAACGCAACGCTCACTTAGTTTACATGCATCCACGGCCGATATGTGAAAAACAGAATAGTTATAGATGAATACATGTCAAGCCCATGCTATCTTTTTGACTTCTTCATACATATAGATACTAGATAATATCACTAATAATACTAATCAGAATGATGACAATAATAACAAGTATTATAATACTATGCAATAATGGCCTTCATCAAACTTCATCAAAAACTAATATCCAAATCAATTCAAAGGAGAAAATATAGGACCGAGGATAAAAAAAACCTTTTCAAGATTAAATCAATTAGAGATTATATATTTATACTCATACTGAACTAAATATAAGGGTATCAAGGCTGGGAACTAGCTATTCCTTCGACTTACAGATCATACATCAAATTCATAGAGATTATTGTTTGAATATGCAAGTAGTTTGCCAAGGCGGAGTTAGCCATGAGAGGGGGCTAGTTATATTGATGAATATATAATATTTTTATTTTTTATCTTTTTTTAAATTGTATTTGTGGCAACTATAGTTAAGTATAACTATTTTAATTTTACACGACATTTTAGTGACCAATTTTAATTTATTTTTATTCTTCGAATTCTGATTTACTGATGAGTTATTGTAAATGAACTTAACTAAAGATTAGCAGATGCTTTCATTAAATTCAGAATGTATCTAGAGTAAAAATTCGTTGTTAAAATGAAAGGATCATACTGACTTTCTATTTTAAAGGTTACTCTCTTTGTCAGAGATAGCTTCTATGCAATTTGATAATATCCAACATACAAAATTAGCTGAAGTTGCGTCATGTCCTAACAATAATTTGATTTTGTTTTATCGATAACTGGAACGGTATCAGATATAACAGGAATATATCAAAATTTACTTATTGTCCCTGACGTCATATGTTGCAGCTATCAAACAAAAAAACCTCACATCGAGACTGTGAATGTCTTGATTTACAAGTTGTACTAACAAACCACTTATGTCAAATGTTCAAAAGAGTGACAGATCGTGTAAGATGTCACCGAATGTTTTCCTACTACATAGATAGAATCTAACGAACAATTTAAAAGAAAAAGTAATTTGATAAATTATTACTTTTTCAACGGAGAACCGATAGTAAGGAAAAGCGAATCACGCGTTTCAAAACTAATCATCAGACAATAATAGAAGACAACATCAATAGGAATCAAGCCATAGATCTTAATTAGGGAAACACAAATTGAGGCTGACTCGTTTGTTCTAGTTGTTCTGAATTTTTGTAAAGTTGTTATTGATATATCTGGCATCTTAAATTGTCTTATGTCGGAGAACTTCACTGCTGAAAAAAAAAGATTAGACAGATGAGAGGAAAGAAATGTGTTTTTTTTTCAAGTTGAGTACGATTGTTGCCTGTCATTTTTATATCCCACACTTTCGGAATAACGTTTAGGTAAAATATTCTAGCTATGTAGACAAATTAGGTAATTTGCACATAAAAAAAAAAAAAAAAAAAAAAAAAAAAAAAATCAGGAATTTATAGCTGAAGCGACAATTTTGAATACGCTTCTAGTGAAGGAAGCTGTTTTTGATTTGACAAAGGAAATTAATTTATCAATAACACAGATAAAAAAACCAAAATATTTTTCACAAAACCATAAATACTGATGACCACATTTCCATTTGTTGAATCGATGAAATGTAGAAATAAAAGGATAAAGGAACGATGAAAAAGGCAGACAGCAACCGACAACATCACTGAAATACAGTGTTTTGATTAATTTTAAAAGTATTTCCTTTTACATTTTTTTCTTGATCAGTATGCTATATTTGATCAGTATCATAATGTTCTTGTAAGAATCGTAATGACGTTTTTCTTTAGATATTATGAAGACCTTGCCTACAGTGTGATGACAGAATTTTATTGGATGGATAAAAAGCAGGCTCGGAAACTTTTAGTGACAGAAGTGGAAAGATTTAATTATACGACAATTTTTGAGATAACGGAAAAGTTTACATTGATGAAATTTATGGGACATGCTGCATGTCAAACGCAGCTGAATAAGATTTGGAAAGGTCGTATTTTAAGTGATACCTCGAACTGTAAGGTAAAAACATAGCCTCAAAATACAAACATCTACGTATCTAGCTATTTACCCCCTCTCTCTCTCTCTCTCTTTCAATTATCCGTCTTTCCATCTATCTATTTATTTTTGCAATATTTTCATTACCATTTTCTTTTAATTGAATGATGTTCCGACTCGTACCTAATATGTAAATCAATGATCACTGAAGCAATATATAAAGATTAAGATAAAAGTCAATTTTTTGAAAGAATTCCCTTAATAAAAAAGTTTCAACATCAAGTGCTATGATGGTTTTTGCTTGTTCTTAGATTTTAAATTTAAAAACACTTTTGGGATATCGCATGTTCTCTCATTGCTTTCTTAGTCGACCGTATCAACCAAGAAGGTGATGCTACATCAGCTAGCGTCTAAATCTTGTCCCGTTTTTTATTGCATGCTTCCGGTCAGTAGTCTTCATGTTGTTGCATTTAAATGGTGTTTTGTTGTGTGTTTTAGCGTTACGACATATTGTCTGAATAGTCAAATTGGTAGAACCCAGCACTTGCAATGACTATACAAAATCAAGTTATCCTGACCATGTGTTTTTCTAATTATTGGTATCTACATATGTATTTGTATATCAATTTATTTTTTTTTGGGGGGGGGGGGGGGGGGTGGAATCGGGCGTTGGTGGTTAATGTAGTCGTTTCAACTAAGCGATGTTGTTGGTTGCTACCTTTCCTATGCATTACATTAATTAGATCTTCGGTAACAATCGTTATAACTAACTTCAGGAAGTTTGTATACATAATTATTTTTGTACATTTTCTTTGTTCGATTGTATTCATAGGTAACATTAACTCAACTTTCGGTTGTAACACTGTCTTTTCTATACATGTAAATAGAGTAGCTTGTTTCACTTATCCAATAAACACTATGTTTAATGTGTATTAGTAGCAATCGTTGAAAAATGTAATTTAAAACGTCGATTTTTTAGATAAGGAAAATATGTGAGAGTCGTATGCAAAACACTATGTTTAATGTGTATTAGTAGCATTCGTTGCAAAATGTAATTCAAAACGTCGATTTTTCAGATAAGGAAAATATGTGAGAGTCGTATGCAAAACATACGCATTGCAAATTACACTTTTGAATTAGGATGGAAGTGTTTTTTCATGAAATGAATCGACTCGTGTGCAAAACTTCTGTTTGTGTACGTGTATTTTCTCGGCTTAGTTTACATTTTCAAATGCTTGGATACAACATTTGTTGCAGATTTATCTGAATATGTTTATACATATTTAACTTTTTTTTTATTCGTAAAAACACTATATGTTGGTTCGTAATTGAGTTATAAGACAAGTTTATGTTTTCTTTTACATAGGCAATTGCTGCTGCTTTCATCCCGATTTTGATTATGCAAATAGTGAATATAGACAACACTGTTGAGAGAACAGAAAATAAATTTAGTCCATCGGGATTATTGAATAGATTGGAACAGGAAGCAATCCCAAATGGGTTATTTTTACAATCTGCAGTTAACTTGACGAACTGGATGAGAAAAATTTATTACTTCTACGACTCACCTTCAATCAAATTTATTTTTTACGTTGTAAGTTTAATGAAAATATGCCATTCAATTGCTTTTTCTATAATTAACAAGCAAAATCAATTAAATATATGAATATCTAAAAAGGAAATAGATTCAAAGTATAAGGCAATGAGTAAACTACTAAATATTACAAAACCAAAACACATCAATCGGTTCTTATAAGACATATATCTGTAGAAATCAAAAGCAAACATGGATACTAACTATAAAATAACAAGTATTTGATAAAAATGTCTTAGAATTCAGCATATAATATCAAATAAGGTGTGATAACTGGTCGTTTTGAAGGGTTAGAGTATTTAATTTAATTGCGAAATCTGTTTTATTAATTATTTTGAATTATGAAACAGCCTTACGAAAAATACGAGGCACATAGAGAAATTTGTTGCTGACAATGGTGGACCGTGTACATTTAAGTACTGACCAAGATTGTGGTGTAGAGTTTCAAACTTTATAGGGATAGATTTAAACCTTATAATATTTGTTGTGGCAGTAATTGTGCTCTCATGAGGAAGTTACTATAGTCGACATTAGGTCTTTAAATGCAAGTTTATTATTATCATGATTATATGTATACATCATACGTTACAGGTATATTACTGACGCTTCTAATGAGTCATCACTTACATGTGTAACATTTGTTAAAGTATCTGACATCAATTAAAAAACTGTTTTTTGTGTCATTGACAAGTAATTACTTTTATTCAAAATAGTTAACGTATATGTCAATGGTGGTGATATTCTGCTTGTTTGTACTGACGGATTTGTATCCAATGTCTGAGAAAACTCCATCAGTTAAAGAGTATTTTGTTTATGCATTGGCAGCATCAAGATTGACTGAGGAAATTAGAAAGGTAATATGAAAAAGTTTGAATATCTATTTGATTTCAATAATGAAATAACACGTTATATATTTTGTACGTCAGAGAACTTTTGGGGGTTAACCTTTATCAAGAGCCCTCAAACCAAAAAAATTGAAAACCAAAGGATCTATAAATACTTTTATAAAGTTCGTATGATGTGTATGTTATGAGGTTGGAATCTTGTTGGAAATATAATCCGAAAATATTGTACCATCACATACAAGTACATAAAGGCTATCAAATATTCAAGCTGTCAACAAATCACTTTCAGTCAGTCCTTAAATAATTACTGTCCATAAACATTTTAATGAAATTATTACATGTTTATTCGAAATAATGAACACGTAATACTAGGAGAAGGTACATTATGGTGTTTATTTTGTCCTGCTGATTTACTTATTTGACAAAATATTGATGTATACTAATAGGAATTGAAAGATGTATTTTTTTTTTCGCCAAACAAAATGTAGAATATCGTAGGAACGGAAAATATGCAAATCACTTTGGAACAGGGATATACTGATATGAAGCTTTGACTTAATGTTCCACTTTAGAAATACTATCCTTTCTCTTTCTCTAAATAATTCCAAGTTTAATGATTATGTTGATTGCAATTATTTCTTTGAACTTCACAGGAAGTCCAAAGATACCAAACGGATATTCAAACTTATAAGTCATAAATAAACTGACAACGACATGGCAAAAATCGAAAAAGAAAAACAGACAAACAGCAGTACACAAAATACAACATAGAAAACTAAAAACTGAGCAACGCGAACCCCAGATAAAAACTGGAGTTGATCTCAGGTGCTCCAGAAGGGTAAGCAGATCCGGCTCCACATGTGATACCCGTCATGTTGCTCATGACAATACAAAATGGGGAAAAGAAAAAAAGGGACGGGATTGTAGTTACGAGAATAGGAACATATTCGTGGTCATTTGTGAAACAAATATGCCATAACGGTCAACCAACTCGTGATAACGTCCGTAAAATTTACGAAGGGGTGATTGCAACTTCGCCATTTGGAACTCTTAGTTTAATAGATTCCTTGTGAGCAGCAATCCTTTATTAATGAAATCATCATAGGAAATAGAAATCAATTGATGTATATGAGAGGTACCTTAGACCTGTTTCTTATCCTGATATACACCTAAAATAGGCGAATAAAATAAACAGCGATATTAACTTTTTTGCAAGATATGTCTTAATTTTTCTAATTGTAAACGCTCGATTTTTATTCAGAAACACCAAATTAGTATTTATTAATATTTCTTGATTTGTGTTAGCTGTCATGTTTCAATGATATATTAGTGGCTCTTACAACAATTATACTCTTACTTATTTGACAACCACATGTGACTTATCACTTGTTTGTTCTTGAAATGAGCACCATGTTATTTGTTATAACCACTTGCCATTCTGGTGCATCACATTTCACAATCGGTGTGGTATAGTTTTTCTCAATATCTAGTTTTCTGGGAATATGAAAGGATCGGTGAAGTAAATATACATGTGAAATCAACCCAACATTACAAAACAGCAAACGAGTACGGGTCAACATGAAGTCTTAAACAATAATAACATATTTATACATTATTTTAAGCTCTCCAACATATCTCCGAAAGTCGAAACAGTTGGGAAAAAATTTATTAGACATTTCAAAGTTCGACATGATGTAATTCTTACATCAGCAACACAAATAAGAGGCAGAAAATACCACAAGGAAAACCAAAACTCGTACGTCGAAGAGAAACCGACAGAACCAAAAAAACGACATCCAGACAAACAACATTCTTTGAAACACTATATAGAAATTTTAAAACTGAGCAACACTAACCGCTATCACCGGGGCTGTTCTCATGTGCTCAGGAGGAGAAGCAGATCCTGCACATGTGTCACCTGTCAAGTTCACATATTAAGATGAAATTCGGTGATAAGTCTCAATGGATGATCTAACAGTCGAGGAACATAAGACGATAGTGTTGCAAGGACAATAGGAACATACACATATACCAGAAAGACACCCTATGACGAGGTTGTGTATTTTATACTGTTATTTGTCTTCTTGTCTTTTTGATTCACTCTATGGTTTTCCACACGTTAAAATTAAAGACCAAAGTTTGAAACAAAAATTATCCTGTTACTAAGTTTGGTTAATTGATGTTTCAAATACTTACAACATAAAATACTGACATAAATAGTTCAACTAACATGCAGTCTCATAAAGTATATTAGTAAAATCCTAACTCATTGAAGCTGTCTCGAACTACAACATATATATGTTAAACTGTTACTGCCACTTAGTCTTGAATGTGTTTGCGTACATACTAGTTTTATTATGTACTTACATATTAATTATTTTTCATTTTCTCTGTTAGATTGATCAATAGTCGTCAATAAAGGGCGATGATACTTGGCTATTGTTGAGGACTTCATACATTTGTTCATGTTGTAATTTCAATAATAAAAATCCAACGTTTCCTTTCCTCATTTAAATCAATTCATTTTCAGGCTTTTGTGATCAAGCGAGTGTCATTGAATTTAATGAACTGGTTCAGTTTGTGGACGCTTTTGGAAATAGTAATGTACAGTATGTTTACTACTTCCGTAATCCTTCGATTTACCTTATCAGCTGAGAATTTCTATCATGCACGAATGGCATATGCAATAACATTGGGGATATTCATTATCAACAGCATGCAGTTTTTTCTTGTTTCTAAATACATTGGACCAAAAGTTATCATGATTGGAAGAATGGTAAGTTACGTTGATATATAATCAAAATATAAATGGAATCAAGTCTGCAGCAATGTCATATTATATTTTTTTTTGCCAAAACTCTGCTTGAAATAAATATGAGAAAAGTATCAATTAATGTAACATAATGATACGAAATACCAAAAGAAAATGAATAATGACAATTTTTATTTATAGCATACACGTTGCCCTTTTTATTCAATGCTGCAACAAATCTTTGTTGATGTTCTAAAATTAGTGAACTCTTATATGTTGACCGAAAACAAACCCTAAATCATTATTTGTCATATGCAGTTAAAACATTAACAATTCTGCGGTTGACCGAAAACAAAACCAAAAAGCATAATTTGTCATATGCAGTTAAAACATTAATAATTCTGCGCTTTACATTCCATCACAAAAATAAAGATCAAATTTATTTCTAGAATTTAATCACGTATATTCCGTATACCAACAAATGAAAAGGTCACTTTGTATTTCAAATTGAATCTGTTTTAGACATTTATCATGCTTATGCAATCCGTTTTTTTTTTCGAGGTTTTAATTTTTCAATATTTTATTCTTCAACATCACTGCAGATGTATTGACTGTCAAAATGCGTAACCGGTGTAACTAAATTTATACTGTTTGTGTTAAGAGACCCTCTATAATACCGCACAATATCTGATGAAATATATAAGTAAACAAGTGCATCTAGATATTAATCAATGATCTTTTTACGATAGTGGTAGATCGTTATGAAAAAAAACGATACTGCACAAAATGAATGAATTCTACATACACCTTAAAAGTGTAAAACAAATGTATAATTTTTAGACGTACATATATATATATATATATTTATTTATATAGTATACAAATTTGTACAAGAATACTGATAAAAGAGGACACACAATTGTAAACACATATATTTCGGCATAACCAAAGACCTTCGTCAATATCAATCTTTTACAAGTTTCCAAACTTGGAAGATTAAGATATGAACAATGAAAAAAAAACACTATAAATTTCGTGCGTCTCAAACACTATTTTAGATTCACTACATCATGTAAATCAAGGATCTCTAAAACTCGACAATTTGAAAGCTAACGATATCCAAATACCTGAATACAAGTGGAATTATATTAACTTAACAGACAAACAAATAGCCATATTCCGGGTGAATTTTATTTAAGGTAGCTGGAATCTTACTATTTGAAACATTTCTCAATTTATCAAGGGAGAATATAGTTATAAAGTTTGGTTTAAATGATGTCAGTACCGAAGGATTGATTTTTGAGCTGACTTTATCATCGGAGACGTTTAGGTCCCCAGCAGAAACATTTACTTTGTGTTGGGAAATGAAAAAAAAAAAAGAGACAAGGGTTTGCTAAAGATTAAACTTCAACAGTACCGTTTAAAAACAACAATAAAATAACAAGGATGTTTAAATACTCGACTACGCGAGGAGATGTATTTTCCCCGAGCCATCCGTATTGGCTTTCCCAAAAATCTTAAAGACTATCTCTCCACTAGGCTCCTCGTCAGCAGGCTCCTGCAAGGGCTGTGTAAACGATGTTTGACTCGATGCAAATGATGCGTACCAAAAACTTTTAACAATGAACTTAATTCCCTAGGACGAAATACACCTTATTTTGCAATATAATTTGCAAGACTACAATCATTGTGTATCTCCTACAGTGTAAATATAGTATGCAGGTGAGTCAGAACAACCCCTTTTTATAAACGCATAAATAAGCATATATTTGAATGTAAGCAAGACCTTTCTCTCAATCGACATTTTTTATATCACTGTAACACTCAGGCATGTATCAATCGACTGATTATAGGTCTAGGGAGGCGAGAATTACCCTGGAAATTGATATGAAAATCAAAAAATGGTAGCAAATGGAATCTATCGCGCAGTGCTTACCAAAGCTGCTGGAAGTGTATTCTATCTTAGATGTTTACAGTCGCAGCCTCGTCTTTTGCACATACTTATATTGCTGAAACTTTGAGATTTTATAATTATACCAGCATTGTTTGGTTTTTAATTTTTTAATGTTTTAAGATTTATTAAGGAAAATCAGCATAGATTGATACACATGCGTTTTACATCAAACTGATAAAGAATATCTGAAATAAATATTGAAACTTTTATTTGCTTTTCACATTTTTAAGTATTGGTGTTGTATGACACTTTTTATATGCATATTTTTTTTATTAATTGTTTATAGTATTATTTTACCATCTAATCCCCTCGTCACAAAGCTTAGCCGTGATATATATACATACATCTTATTAAGTGTTATTTAGTATTCTATTTATTTTAGATGTTCGACATTGTGTTCTTTCTTTTGATATTTGCTGTGTTTTTATTTGGCTTCGGTGTCATTTACCGAGCAACGATGTACCCGAATTCTACACCAGGGCTTCAACTTTTCAGGGAAATAATATACATGCCATACTGGCAGTTGTATGGAGAACTGTTTCTAGATCAATTGGAAGGTAATTTGAATATACTTAATACTATGGGAGTTCTTAAATGATAACATCTTAAAGTTAAGTCGATCGAGTAAATAATTTACGTATCAAGTTCTTGATAACGCAAATTCGTAATGTGACAAGTTACATCTACCTGTTCATCGGAAAACTATTTGTAGAACGATATACAAATAAAATGATTTACTAAGGTAATAGTTAATATGAGGCTATTCGATTTATCTTTTTATATCTAAACTGAAGATTTATTTCAAAAAATTACAAGTGTGGATGAAAAGAATGTGAAAAAGATAACGATCTCCAAGGTAAATTCAAATAGGGTAAAGTCTATAAGAATTGACAAAATCAAACGTTATACACCATCAACCTACGGAACGAATGGAAAACAACTGTCACATTCCGGACTTAATTTAGGCATTTTCCAATGAAAATAGTGTGTTAAACCTTGATTTCATTAATGTCGAAAGTGCATAGTAATTGTTTTATTAGTGTTAGTATGTTTCACAGTGTTTTCTCCAGTGAGTTTAAACATGATGGTGACCCACCAGATGTTTTTGAGCCTTTTCTATGTCTTTGTCGTAAAGTTCTATGTTAAACTGAGTTCCATGGGGACAGCAATCTTGGTTTCAGTTAAGTAGCAAAATCTCAAAATAAACATACTCTCATTTATTCATTATTTGGTTATAATGTTTAAGACTGTTTTGCAGAAGAAGCTATGTTTATGAATTTCAAAAATTCTTCTGGTTAATCTATGTTTAAAAGTGGTGAACACCTTTGCTTTTAGGTATGCACTTGAATGGGCATTAGCTGTCAAATTCGTGTTCACCGATTTGACCCAAATGCTCATATTTGATTTATAACATAATAAAACGTATATCCAAAGTATACCAAGTTTAAGGTTGGATTTTTCTAGCTCTGCTTGATTTCATATTATTGGTAAAAATGACTATTACAACTATTATTATAGTTATATAAAACTTGCAGAAATGTGCATCACATTTTGTTGGATATTCCTTCTTTATATGTTTAGGTATATCCACACTCAACGGCCCAATTAATAGACGAATTAAACTCAATAATCTAGATATATTATACGCTAAAAATCATTGGCCGATGAAATATGATTTGTACTGTAATTGCGCGAATCAAGAAACAAATTATTTGTATAAAAAAAAATCACTTGGTAAGAAGTTTATTATATTAACTTCATAAAAGGGGTAAATAGGTTTTTTTCTCCGGTTTCATTATATTTTTACTGCGGATCATCATATTATTTTTCAATAATCTAAACGAACGTATTCAAAATAATGGTTTTCTCCCGTTTGCCTTGCATTACAATTTTCTTCAAAACTTGAGAATCAGAATATAATAGTATAGCCCTATTTACCCACCATTAAATTAAGAAGCTGTTCCCCCACAGAAAATGAGAACGTTTGGTAATTTGGTAGTGTAAAAGTATATAAAAGAATTAAAAATCATGGATTGGCTTCGAAGAGAGCACAAAATCGCAATGAGCATGCAACACGGAACAAGGACATCCATAGGTTGAAATACGAGTTCAAATACGGTTGGTATCAACAAGATGTTATGCTTTTCTTATTCAGTAATCCTACACATCAATGTGATAAAATTTGACTTGTTTCTTTAATGTAATGAAAAGCTTTGCATTATCAATTTTATATCCCAGAATTCCCCTCAATTTGTATCGATAAATACACAGAACTTAACGTAATTAGTGTCGAAAGTTAAAATATGCGTTTAAAACGTTTTATGGCACCAGTATTTCAATTAGATAAATGGACGAAAGGATTGTTTTTCTACCCAAAACTTTGAAAAAATATTTAAAGTGAAAAATTGCACAGTAAAACCCTAATTGGCTAAAATCACACACGTGTTATCAAATTAATTAAATACTTTAACCCACTGTAGTTTGCATTTTAATCCGGGTAAATAAGACCTTACACATGTCGATTTTAAATGCATTCAAGCACATTTTATTGTAACCTGGTCTCGTCCAGGTTGTATCTTCAAAAAACGACCTATCGTTCTGAAAAGAATTAACTCAATATAAGCATATCTCTCCTATAATTCTTAGCTTATTAACACGCTTCATGGATTTAGCTTAAGTGTTTGTTCAACCTTGCTAAATCCTTTATTAAACTGTGATTTCTTATGGAAAGGAAACAAATTGTCTGTTTACGCAAAATTTTGTTGGAAAAACTGAATATCTCTAAAAGGTCCACGACTGGTGCTATTATTCATTCTTTTTTTTTCGAATCCGCAAGTCCGAATTCCGAGGATTGGTTTTTGAATTGCATTAACGTCATGGAATATGATTCATTAGAAAAAGTCTATTAATATCTATCAATATACTGCATTATTTTATTTGTTAAGGAAAAGATCCGTCAAAATGTACGAATAATGCAACACTTTATCATAATGGGACTATGGAAAGATGTCCAGAAGTTAACCAGATTAATACAGTAGTACTAGGTGTCTACATGGTGATAACACACATAATTCTGATCAATATTCTGATTGCAATGCTTATGTAAGTATAATAAATCATATGTGACTAAATACATTCTGAGTAACATTCATTTATTGAAATTAATAAACTGTTCGGTTTTGAGCGTTCCTAGTAAAAGAGCTTCCAAAACCAAAATTTATAAAGTGTAATTTTCATTTTTCAGGTATTTTATTATAAACTAATGGTCGTCTTTTATTTACACTTTTGATATATTTTAAACATTATGATGAGATTTTTTATTCTCTATAAATAGGTCAAATTTTACTAGTACAGATTGGGAATATGTCCAGCGTCTGATAGACTATATATATAGGATCCCTTATAATTTTTATAACTATGCATTGCATTCAGGTATCACAGATCAAATTTATTCGTTCATTGTGTGTTAATTTACGTTTTTTGATTGAGTTAAGCCTTCCAATTGATATTTTATAGTGTGTCTTTCTATGTTGTGATTTTATACTACTGTTTCAGAAAAGGGAGAAGGTTTGGTACCATTAAAACGTTTAATCCCGCTGCAAATGTTTGCACCTGTCCTAAGTCAGGAATCTGATGTACAGTAGTTGTCGTTTGTTTATGTAGTTCATACATGTTTCTCGTTTCTCGTTTCTCGTTTTTATATAGATTAGACCGTTGGTTTTCCCGTCTGAATGGTTTTACACTAGTAATTTTTGGGGCCCTTTATAGCTTGCTGTGTGAGCCAATGCTCCGTGTTGAAGGCCGTACCTTGACCTATAATGGTTTACTTTTATAAATTGTTACTTGGATGGAGAGTTGTCTCATTGGCACTCATACCACATCTTCCTTTATCTATTGAAAAAGGATCAATATTAAGCAAAAAATGATTGCACGTTGCCTTCTATAAAAAAAGATCTAGATTCGCGCCCTCAAATCATATTATATATTAACCTTTGTTAAATGTTTAAGTAGGTGAATTACATATATATATATTGAACTTTAAAAGAAACATCGCATTGTTCATAAATTGACAATGTGTCAAATATTGATTTTATTCTACATGATTATTAGTTTTTTATCAATGTTAATTGACATTAACTTAGTGTTATCAATCACACTTAAACACATTTGCTGCATGGATGAAGTGTGGTAGAGCAACCTCTTAAGTACGAAAGTCTTTCTCACCAACTTCGGCGACGAACTCAAACTAAAATTCACGATTTATTCGTGTCAATACAAGTACATTGAAGACATCGACACTTTGCTGACCGTTATTTATGATTTTGATACCGATAGAAAACCAATACATACCTCTCTAAAACAGAAGCAGGCTAGTTCAGGCCTGAATGTTTAACAATAACCCCATGTCTGTGCAAACGCATGCATTTACTGTGTTTGCATTTTTTTAACATTTGTGGTATCAATACAGCTCGATACACATCATTTATCATAGTACAGGCATTGGTCTCTCAATGGTTACAAGCCAACTCAGAATAATTACGTCCTTATCTATACTATAAGTAACTATTGTTCTCGAATGTGTACTACTGCATTAAGATAAAATCACCAAATGTGTACTTACATGAGCAACACCCGATTTTGTGGGGGGCGTGTTGCTAAGTCTGTATTTTTCTATGTTGTGTTTTGTAGACTGTTCTTTGTCTTTACGTCGTTTTATGTTTTTGCCGTTGCATTGTCAGTCTGTTTTTAAACTTATGAGTTTGAATTACCCTTGGGCATCTTCTGCCTCTCTTTTACGTCCTTATCTATACTATAAGTAACTATTGTTCTCGAATGTGTACTACTGCATTAAGATAAAATCACCAAATGTGTACTTACATGAGCAACACCCGATTTTGTGGGGGGCGTGTTGCTAAGTCTGTATTTTTCTATGTTGTGTTTTGTAGACTGTTCTTTGTCTTTACGTCGTTTTATGTTTTTGCCGTTGCATTGTCAGTCTGTTTTTAAACTTATGAGTTTGAATTACCCTTGGGCATCTTCTGCCTCTCTTTTACGTCCTTCGGCAGAAAGCTGGCGCATCTTTTACTGCACAACAAGGCATTTAGTGCCTATAATGTTGGTTGTCAATTTACCAAAAAGAGTCCTACTCTGACAGCTTGATGAAGAAGAATGTAAACAGGCGCACACATGGACCATCATCAATAGAGGTTGTCTTCAAGAACATTGTCAAAGGAAGAGAAAATAGTGTAACAACTACTCGTTATATCAATCACGTTTTGCGTATTCATGATTTTCAACACTTTGTGCGTCACAAGAACTAGATTGACTACACAAGTGATTACACTACTAGAACATCACGAGATGTTTTGAAGCAGAATAAATGTGCTGTCATGTCATTACCTGTCCTTAGTCCAGAATTGAATCCAATTCGAAATTAATGAGAAGCAGTTCAAAGAAGATTGCATGAATAACAACTCATTCGACAGCTATAGCTGAACTAAGGACATTTTTTTTAGAGTGTGGGTTGCTGTTTTAATGGATTCATCTATGCATAATCCCTTCCATGCATAGGAGTTGCGTCATCAACCACTGGTTAACCAAATTTGATCTAACGCGGTCATTTTGATTTAAACACTCTTTAAAAACTGAACAATTAACTATTATATCATTTATTTCAGTCAATTTTCAGACTTATCCACTGTAGTAAATTCAGTACTGTTCCGACAATTCGCTTGCAGTCAATTGAGATCTGTGAAGACTATCCAGTAGATGTTATTAACCTGTACACATCAACAACATACTGAATTGTCTGAAAAAAACTACCAAACAGTACTGAATTGACTGCAAGCAAAATGTCTAAACAGTACCAAACTGACTGTAAGTGAATTAGCAATGCTTTTATTTTTGCCTTGGCATTATCAGTTCATTTTCGACTTGTGAGTTTGAATATCTCTTTGACGACTTCCGCCTCTCGTTACGTTCTTCGTCAACAATCGGGTGCATCCTTTACAGAGCATTTATAATTGGACTATTCATACTCTTCTTCTTTAAGTTAAAAAATTATTCAGTTTCCTTAATAGATGTAGCAGTTGTAATTGTAAAACTTTGATACATATATGTATAAATACTAAATGGCTCGACAATGTTACTGAACATCTGTTGATTCACCGTAATCAAATTTTCTCAATATAGCTAAATTTAATATGACATATTTGGTACATTAATATTACAACATACACATACACACAGATTGCGGAAATAAAAATGCAAGATTTGTTTGTAAAAAGTATAAAAAAATACTGAAATCCAAGGTAAATTCAAAAAGGGAAGTCCATAAAAACTGACAAAGTCAAACGTTAGAACGGAATGAATGGAAAACAACTGTCATTCTACTGTCTAATTACAGGAATTTTCCGAAGAAAATGGTGGGTCAAACCTTGTTTTATAGCTAGCTTAACCTCCCACTTGTATGACAGTTGTTTATAGCGCCGAAATATTGACAAACTTGGATGAAAACCGAAAGAGACACAATAGGATAATGTGACAATAATTGGAATCTAGCAGCCAAAACTGTGTTAACATACATCACAGACATACAACACAACTGATTAAAAAGTCAAACAAGCATACCAATAAATCTAACAATGACGCCAACAATTAAGATTTTTTTTATTATATTTGATAGTATATTTGACAGGACGACTACAAAAACGTTTTAGATGTTACATACAGTATATAGTATACACTTTACACGTTCACAATAAAGTTCAAATTAAGTAAAATATAAAGACAAGGGTAACAAAAAAAATCACACCGTAAATACATCTTGCGTCCGAATCGCACCTATGGACCTCATAGCTTGATGCATGAATACCGATTCAAGTCAAGAGTCATACGACCAAAAGGATCATAATAGCACAACGACAAATAAAAAAGAAAACTGTAATTCAAAGTTAATTCAAAAGATACAAACTTCAGCACCTATAATCAATAACTCAAGCCCCTCTTGTATTATTTCTGAAGTAGACACTGAATATTTATCTTTTGTGAGATTCTAAATAAAATCACTTCAATTTGTATCCGTATGTTTTATTTTGATATCGGGTTTGACATTTAATGACATGTTCTGTATTTCTGGACCACATATTTACATTAAAACATGTGTCGGTATATTTTCATTTATCCTTCGTTATTGACATAGAATATATTTAAACTGGAATGCTAACTTTAAAAAAAAAAATAAATGTAAAAGCATATGTCTTTTTTACACACTTTAGATCATCGAAAATGTAAACTTTTTAAATAAGGAGATATGGTATGATTGCCAATGAAACCACTATCCTCAGATTTCCAATTACGTGGATGCAAACAAGTATAGGTCATTCATCAATAAATAAAACCCAATACTGTCAGCTATTAAAGTCCCTGACATGGAAAATGTGTAACCTAAAAACTAACTGCCCAGTTTAAAACAAAACGAAACTACGAAAACAAAACCCAAATATATAACGGACATGAACCAACGAAAACCGCATACAGTTGGTAAAAAGATTTTGTGAAAGAATGTTAATTTTACTGAAACTGTTGGGAATTGTTTTAAATCTGATTTATTTTTTGTCAAAACAGCTCATGCAAAAATAAAGAGGACACACATAAAGACTTACAATATAACATTATGCCTTCATTTAATCACAGGCATACATTTACAAAAGTGCAAGACAACAATGAACTGGTTTGGAAATTCTACAGATTTTCACTTATCCAGGAGTATTATAATAGATCCGCATTGATTCCACCGTTTAGTATCATCAGTCACATGAAGATGATTATCATATTTATCTACCATAAATGTACAGAAAGGAAAAATAACAAGTTCAGTAAGTATTTGTTTATAAAACCACAGCTATAAAACCATATTTAACTTAACATTTCTTCGGAAAATGGATGTACCAAATCAGGAATATGGCAGTTGTTTTTCACTTGTTCCGTTGGTGGAAAATGTTTGTTTTTGTCAGATTTTATGAACTACCTCGTTTTAAATTTGCATTGGAGTTCGGTATTTTTGTTATATTTTTTTATACAAAACATGCAATATGAATATACAGGATGTGGTTTATAGGTCAATAAACATAAATAAACAATGACACAAATGAGCAAAATACATCTACGTGTTACCATATGGTCTTATATAACAACAGATAGATGTCAATACAATATGTCAAACTCTAAATGGTCCAGAAGAAAGTGAAAAATAAATAAAACAAAATGTTTCATTGATCTTTGATCATCAAATAGTTTTCCAAAAATGTTTACCGGGAAAACAATCGGAAATATCTTATACGATCATGAACGAAGTTACTGCCACGGGGCAGGCACACACATCCTATAGTGTGTCCTTACTGACACTGACCATTGAAAAGTTTATGTGTTTGAACACTTCTAATTTTGTCTTCGTCTTTGTCTTTTAAACATATATACGATCTTAATTTTTTTCTAAAGTAGGGCGTCCGTTTGATTGTGTGGGATGTTAGCCACGCTAGGTCGGGATGAGGACGTTTGATCAGATGCATCGTGTAGGGTCAGTTCAGCGTTGTTGATCTCTGAACGTTTAAAAACCTTGACAACAGGTTTCTGATGGGTCTTATTGTAGCCAAATCAAGGTCGCATACGGACCACTATACTTGCAAACGAACAGACACAAATTACTTCATAGCAACCACTGACGCTATCACTAATTACTGATATAATCGGTTGGAGATTTTGTTTTCATCTGATTGTGACATGATGCATTTAGTCTGTATATTTGAACTTATATAATAATAAATCGATTTCTAAAATTACAAGTGTATATTACTCTCTTTGGTGACGTAGACAATTGCAAATCTTTATTCATAAGCTGGACATTTTTCAAATCATAAAAACAAACACTTAATTATGTGAATATCCTCAAATGACATGCTTCATAATTTTGCTTAGAACTAAGACATGTAAGATGTACCCTTGATAGTCCTTTGTGTTTTAATCCTCGTCATGTGGTCTCTATTAAATAGTTGTCCCGTTAGTAATCATAACATATCTCCTTTATAAATAGACATATTCAATAAACATAGGACTAGTTCATTGACCTTAATTGCTTGATCAATTTACCATAAATTAATTGCAGCATATCGATCCAGTTTAACGAAAGATATTTTCATATCGTATTAAAATGTATTTGTCCGAATAGGCATGTAATATTTGCCGCTGAAAGTGAAGTATCCATTACTAAATAAATTCACATTTTTCACAATTATTTATTTATGACGTATCGTATATTCTGTTGAAAAAACATTGTAAGAAATGAAAACAAATGTTAAAACTCGTCATATGAAGCAAAATGCCGCTACTACTCGAAAACTGTTATTACAGAAATGAAGTTCAATACTACAGTAAGTGCCAATTTAGCTATTCTAGAAGAAGATGCAGTATATAGTTACCTTACTTTATCAACTCGGTTAAAAAGAAAGCATGCACAAAATATGGAGGCAGAAAAAGATAGGTATATATCATCATTTTAATCTTTCTTTTCTTTTTTCTTCTTAACGTTTTACTATTCTATTTTCCATTTTCTTTGAGTTATTAGGTATTTACGTACATATCTCTTTAATTGAATTGTCACTTAATCAAGGCTTATTTTGAATAAAACAACATGGCTCTTATTGATATTACTTAATACCTGTTAAAGGATGAATGCAAGCAGGCACCAGACAAATATCATGCTAAGAAACAAATGAATTATCTATTCAACATATTTAAGATGAACTTTTGGAGAACTCTTAGCCTTGTCTTGAAGCAATTTTTCTATTATCATTATTTTTAGGTTCGTAGCTAAATATGAATCAGATACAGACCAAACATTGCTAGAGCAATTCAACTTACTATCGTCTAAATTAGATACAATACAGGAAACAGTTTCTAAAGGTATTTCATTCTTAGGCAAATTAGTCCTTTATATGAATGTCAACTAATTATAATAAAATTTTGATATTAGAATGAAATATATCTAAGGGATGAATGCTAGTTAAATTGAATGACAATTTATTGAAATGAACCGCAAAATGGTATCATAGATTTATGTTTTTCGCACAAAGATCTAAGGGCCGATCAAGATTTTGGGGCAGAAACATCACACAACACTAGCCATAACTGACCAATGAAATATTGCTTTCATATGAGTCTATCAGTGATTTATGAGGGTCTGGATGAGGGGTTCTTCAATTTTCTTATTCTTTAACTTGTGAGATAACTTTTCTCTAATCTTTATTTATGTTTACCCTTATTCTCTATTCTTAATATTTCAGCACCCTATTATTATCTATCCTTTATTCTACGCTTTTTACCCATTAGGCTCTGTTCTGTTTACCCCATCTAGACCCTGCTTTATTGCTCCGGTCACTTTTTGGATAGTGTTTCGAAAACTGCAAAGACAGTCGAAATAACATTTTTTTTAACATACATGACGACTATAATTACGGAGAGAAAATATTCAGCTACGACACAAACTATAATTAAAAAAAAATGTTGTCAGCAAAGTTAACAAAATGGCACCCCGCCATTTATTATATCCCCCCTCCCCACGAAAAAAAGTTAAAGCGGATCGAAGTAAAAGGTGTCCAATGACATTATGTGGTGAGAGTTCTGAGAAAGTTTCATTATATTTTGATCAGGGCACTAGTAAATGAATTTTAGACTTTAACGGTCATTTTGGTCTTAATATCACATGAAAAGCCTGAACGATAAATTATGCAGTCATGTCCAGTCTTTCAGTCAATTCAATACTGTTTATCAGATTTTCAGAAAATTCAGTATGTTGTTGATCTGAACAGGTAAATAATTACTGAACAGTATGAAAAAATAGATTGCACAGATATTAATAGACTGCAAGTGAATTGTCTGACCAGTGCTGGAATTACCACAGAGGATAGTGATGTACCTGATTTGGTATTGTTATACTTTATTAAAATGTACTAGTAATTTTCCTCAATATGAACGTATTTGCCATCTAACATGCTGAAGCTACCATTATGATTTTTTACAATGATTCATTTATGACTGCGTGTGCTTTATTATTTGTCTTATTTTATTAAATCAGTCTTGCATTTTCAATTAGCATGCCTAATGTGATTGATGATAATTTAAATAGATCAAATGCAGTAATATTGAACAAAACACACATTATTCGTCAATATTCTATTACAGAAATGAAGAGAACCACTACAACCAGTGATACACTACTTTTTCGGAAAGACGACGAACAACATATACAATTAAATGCACCATCAGACTTAAGTGGAAATCGAAATGACAAAAACGAGGCAGAAAAATACTGGTATGTTTCATTTTCCTTTTTTTTTCTCAACGTTTTACTAATTTTTATACACAATTTTGTTGTTATTATACAGAAATATCGTAAACAATTCGTTTGTTTCTGCAATTTTGAAAGGCATATTGTGAAAATGCAATACTTACACATTAAACTGTGCAAATGTTGAGCCCTTTGCAGTTTCAAAAAAGATTTAAAGAAAAAATGCATACATTCATAGGACCAATTCGTAGCCAACAAACATATACACTCCTTTGTTCAAATTAAGGATTACGTTTGATGAACATTTAGCCTTAACTGTTTACAGTTTTGTTATTAACATTGTTTTTAGGTATAAAGAGAGACAGAAAGAAGGTACTACAGGTAAACAAAAGCGGGAATACAAACAGATTGAAGTGCTTATAAGGCCACGTGAAACCATTCAAAATACATATATATAATATCTACGTACACTGAAAATTAAAAGAGGCTCATATGAATATCTATCAGTAGCGGTAGTGTGTGAAAGACAAAGTTCATTTACGTCAGTATCTTCATCGTCTTGATATGATTGCTACTATTGTTTTCTTAACACAGAGTGCCAAGCCAATATAAACATTGACGTTTTTGAAATATACATATTCGGTGTGAGCCAATGCTCCGTGTTGAAGGCCTTGACTTATAATGGTTTATTTTTATAAATTGTAACTTGGATGGAGAGTTGTCTCATTGGCACTCATACCACATCTTCCTATATCTATATAAAGGTTGTTTTGTAATATATTGTTTTCCTTATTCTTGTAGTTATTTTCAATTGAATATTGTGTATTTGATTTATTCAATTAGAATGTTATAATAAACATAAATATCCTTAATAGATAAACAATGTGTATGTGTATGATATAATTTGGTTGTTTTGAACGTATTTTTCAATAAATACATGTAGGTCCGATCGTGTTTCAATGTGTGTGTACAACAAATTGTGTGTATTTTATCTCTCAATGTATCGCAGTTAACGCAATCGTCAAAATATTGTAAGGGATATATATAATATCGGTACATTATATGAATGATCACCAACTTTATAGGTTTTCGGTTTTCATGAATGACCACTCCCACAAGCATTCACACAAAGACAACTACGATTATGGGCTTAACGCTTGCCTAATCCAAATATCGTCAATTGTATATTCCGTGAAAAATGATGCATAAATTTGAGATGAGATAAAGCATTTGAACCTCACTAGGAAACCAATTTTATAGCAACTAGTGAGATTCAAATGCTTTATCTCATCTGAAATTTATGCAGCATTTTTCACGGAATATACCATTGACGATATTTGGATAAGGCAAGCGTTCCGAAACGGTCATTGTTGTCTTAATCATGTTAATATCTCTTAAAAGACTGAACAATAAATTTTAAAGTAATTTGCACTCTTGTGTTTCTGTAAATTTTCAGACTTATTCACTGCTATACATTTAAATACTCTTCAGAAAATCTGCTTGCAGTCAATTAAGATTCGTTCAGTCTAGTTTCAGATTGTTAAGTAGTTGCTATTAATCTGAAAACATCAACATAATACAGAACCGTCTGAAAAACTACTAAACAGTACCGTATTCACTGCAAACAAATTATTTGCCTCAATAGTACTAAATTTACCGAAGGGGATTAGTCTGAAAATTGTCAGGAAGGCTGAATGTGACGGAATGATTTATTGTTAAGATTAACTTGGTTTGCATGTTCCTACAATGTAATTACTTCTTGCCTTTCTTGTCATTTATACATCACATGTTTAAGCGCGTTCATTGGTATTATATATGTTCAAATCATTTTGCCGATTTCAACAATATTGAAATTTTGTCTTTCGTATCAGAAAATGTTTGTAAGGAAAAACATACTTATGTTTTAAATATACATCTTGTTATGTAGCTTTGCAACCATTAATGACGATACGATATTAGCGGCAACTATGTCTCTAATTTTAAACTACCGGGTTAATATAATTATCCATAAATACATTGAAGAAACTTATTATCATTTCTTTAAAACGCATGTATATGGTGGGATGCCTACTTTTGGTGCCGGTAGACATTAATTCGAATCATGGTCACGTGATTTGAGCGTCAGTGACGAGTCTTTTGTAGACGAACTTGTGTCTGGCGAGCACAATTATAAACCTGGTATCTTTGATGAATTGTTCTTCTTTTACGTATACACAGTACAATGATAAGTATACTGCAGAGTATAACAAACATATAATTGTTCACAATTAGCAGCAATACTTTAATCACGTAGTTACTCATTAGATAGTTTTCAACGTAGATTGTTAAGTTATGATATCTCGTACGGATAACAATTTTATCAATCTACAAGTAGAGGGGTGTCTTCAATGAAATTGGCAAACTCATCGCAAACAAAAAAATAAAAAACGACGAAAGCGACACAAAACAGTTAATAAAACACTACATAGAAAATAATAACCGAACAAAATGAACCCTCCTAAAATGAATATGATACCAGGTGCTTTGAAATGTTAATTAGATCCAAATTTGGCAACTGTCGTGTTGCTCATTATAAGCACAAAGTCGGTGTTAAGTCTCATTCGAGGATATCAGAATCGAGGAAGAATAGGACGGTCAACCTAATGATTAGACCAGTAACACTTCCGAAAGGATGACTTGAACTTCAACACTAGAAATCCTATATCAATAAGCTTCCTTATAAGCAACGACCCTTTCACAAGAAAATCGTCATAGGAAACGCAAGCTCTGGATAAGGAAAGTTCAATGTTTAAAATAGAAACCTGAACTCATCTATTTTGTTTTAAAATTTTGTTCTTAACCGAACCAGTTTTCGATGAAGGTCAGCAAGATATGAGGCAAACTTAAATGTATCTGTGATATCAGTTTTTCATGTTAAATGGGATAGATAGTTTTCAACAGAGTCAACAATTTTGAGATTATGTAGTTCGTGTAGTAAGAAGATGTATTCTTAGAGGCGGAAAATGAAATTAAAAGAATAATTCTAGCTTCTCTCGATTCTTCCTAAGAAAACTTGATGTGTGTGTGTAGTCTGCGTTATATCAATATAGAAGCGACTCTGCTAGAAGTGTTACACGCCGGTTGATTGCCAATGTGGGACAGTGGTCTGTAAAAAATAAAATCACCCAAACGATACAATCAAGGCATTTTTGCGATGTTTCCATTCCTGCTCAAATTTCAACGGGGTAGATGTGGTAACAATAAAAGCTCTAATATAAAAAAAAATGAAGCATTTATTGAATTCATGATTTTCTGAAATTTTAATAATTATATTTGCATGTGTGTCCAATGTTGAACAATCACAGTAGTAAATAAGAACGAATAATTCTGAATTCGCAAGATCTGCATGCTGCGTTTGAGAGTATAACAACATATTGATAATCTAATAGACAGAATACTATCTTATTACTCTGTGTTTAAAAGTTTATAAGATTTCCATAAAAAGGACGTTAGATAATATGACGAAAAAATGGTTTAAAAAACGTTGCTTTTCTTCGAAATATTTTTGTTCTGATCAAAACCTATACCACATAGCAAACGAGAAAACAAGAAAGCAATACCAGAAATATGATCTACAACTAACGGCAACCACTGTATCACAGGCTTATGACTTGGGACATTCACATACAGCATGCAAAGAGAGACGAAAGATACGCAAAAGATATTCAAACTCATAAGTCGAATACAAGCTGACAATCCCATGGCAAAAAAAAAAAAAAAAACGAAAAGACATACACCAGTTCACAAAACACAAAACACAACATTGAAAACTTCACAATGAACAACACGAATCCAACCAAAAACCAGGGATGATCTCAGGTGTGCCGGAAACATGGGTGAGGTAAGCAGATTCTGGTCCACATGTGACCCCCGTCGAGTTACTCTTATCAAATATGTTGAAACGTTATATCAAGTGATGAGGGATCACGCAATAGAGGATTGGGAATTGACTCTTATCAAACCCTAAGACATCACCTAAATTTTTCTACCCCTGAAATGTGAAATTTTATTCATGACAAAGGATAGACAAGACTGTTACCGGTATAAATATTTGTATACGTTAAAAAAATAAAAAGCCCCGAAAACAACATTAAAAAATAAAGCAAGATCAACACTAACCACTTTTAAACGAAACAAGGGTGATCTCATATGATATGATATACAGCAACAAAAGATCATTGAATTACAGACCCCTGACTTAGGATAGACAAATACAGAATGGGGCAGGGTTAAACATGTTTCCTGGCGCCTATCCCTTCCTAACCTATCACAAAACAACATAAACCTAACTATGAAAATAAGTTGAAAACGGCTTATCTCATCAGGTCGTTTCAAAGAACAAAAACAATACAGGAAACAAAAAAGAAACAAAGTGTAGATCTGAGAGTCCTCGCTGTTACCGAAATCTAGTTCAAAGCCGATAACAACTAACCTAATAAAAATATCATGTATTTAAGACTAAAACAGCAAACAGAACACATCCAACATGAAATTAATTCAGTGTAAAGATGTTATTAACATTCAGAGAAAAACTCTGCAATGCCAAATAATAAGTTCTGACAGATATAGGACCGTGAATGTAAAAATAATTATGTGTATAGCAATAACATTTAGTCGGGTTTTAATTTATTGATAACGATATTCATGCCTTTAAAACAATGTTCAAAGATCTAATTACAGTGTAAAATTTGTAACCTTCCTTTAAGATTAAGCCTATGTAAAGGATCGATACGTTTATCCGGATCGCATCACGGAAAAAAACATTAAATGTCGAAATGCACATCTTGTGCAGCAAAATTGGTACCGTTTGGATTACATGTTTATTTGTTACTTTATTTAGGACATTAAGACAGGTAGTGTTCAGTATAACACAATATGAGAAAGCTTCTACTGAAAGTTAAGTAGAAACCTTAATTGGACTATGTTGGATAGAAAAGATAATCAAAAGATGTATATGAAAGCATAAGAATTTTAAGAAGTTAATGAATTGTACATACAACTTTGCATAACATGTAAAGGGTTATCATTACTTTTAGAATTCATAATATCTTTCACCGTGAATATGAGTATTACAATACATGCACAGAAACAGATCGCTTTTTCAATATCATATTTATTTTGACAAGGTAGCAAACCGCATTAAAAATACATTAAAATTATAATAAAATACATTAAACAATTTTCGGCAGTGATTTTGAAAATGGGTATTTACTTCATAATATTGTAAAAATATAAAAACAGCACATTTTTCCACAAATTAAAGTTTGAATTTAGCATACTGTTAGTTTGAGAATATTCACACTATGATCATTGATACCAGATCACTCTGATCAGCAAAGCTCCAGCATGGAAGATGTGTCGAATATAATTGTAAATGAGACATCTTTCGATTAGAGACAAAAATACGAGGATGTAAGCAATAATAAGTCATCGTATTAATTAACAACTAGTAGAACATATACCGAATAGTAAGCTATAAAAGTTTCCCCATACATAACATCATGTAGATCAATTCAAACGAGAAAACATACCGTCTAATGTATTGTAAAACAATAAAAGAAGAATAAAATACATGCGACAGGCTGCAATCATCAATAACCACTCAATTACATAGTCCTGACGTAGCACATACACATGTTAATAGTTAAAGATACTTTAGATGAAATATAAGAGATATTTAGTCACTTCCGGATTCTCAAATTAACGTCCAGTGTCATATTTTACCTTTACACTGGTTACAACAATGTATGATTTCTGTTTACTTTGATTTGATTTACGGTTTGAAAATTTCACTTCCGGATTTATATCGTTGGATGCATCACATTGATTGGAAAAATATATGCTTTTTAAATAATTAATATGAAATAAATGCAAATACGTCTACTTCCTGTTTGAACACGGTCATTTTGA